CTGACGACCAGGCTACGCAGCGGTCGTCACAGGGTTACACCTTCAGTCTTGGTTCCGGCTCTATTTCGTGGCGGGCTACTCGCTCGTCTTCTGTTCTCGGCTCTAGTTGTTAGGCTGAGATCTACGCCGGGGCCATGGCTGCACAGGAGCTTCGCTGGCTCACCTACCTGCTGACTGACCTCGGAGAGCCGCCTCGTTCTCCTCCAGTGCTGTACGTAGACAACAAGGCCATGCTGGCCTTGTGTCGGGAGCAGCGCCTGGAGCACAGAACGAAGCACATTGCTCTCCGCTACTTTCTTGCTCGTGAGTTGCAGCAGCGTGGTCAGTTGCGACTTGCGTACGTGGCCTCTGAGGCCAACACTACTGATGTTTTCACCAAGGCACTTCCGCCTTGTGATCATCAGCGCTTCTGCACTCAGCTGGGTCTTGTACCTGTCTTGCCTCACTTGCTCACCCCTTGACCTTGCTTGTACTCTTACATATGTATATACCTGCTCTTGCTTGTTTAGCCTTATATATATATGTGTACTCCTGCATGTGAACTGGCCTTGTGGCCTTGACCTTGTGCTCGGACTGTGTGGTGACGTTGTGATCCACCCTGAGCTTTGTCTGCTTTGCTTGACTGGTCTTGTGACCCCTTGTTCTCCCCCACATTGCCTATGGGGGTGTGTCAAATTATAGTATTGTGTAGTCTATAGTGGGGTAGCCCATATGGGGTACACATTTCTAGGGTTGCATATTTGTATCACTTCCATTCGTTAGTCAATCATTCTCGTTCTACTTTCCTCATCCTGTTCATTCTTTCTGCTACACCTTGCTGCTGATGGGCGTAGGGAAGAGAGAGGAGCTGCTTGATGCCCCTTTCCACCAGGTACTGCTTGAATCGTTGAGAGGTGTATTCTCCTCCTTCGTCTGACTGGAAGCTTTTGAGCTTTACGCCCGACTCTCTCTCTGCTACTGGTAGCCAGGCAGCGAATGCTTCGAGGGCCATGTCGCGGCTGGGTAAGTTTAGGTGCCAGACGTAGCGGGTGGCAGCGTCGATGAAGGTGATGGTGTAGTTGTAGATTACTTGTCCTGGCTCCCGATTGTACAGGATGTCGCTATACACCTTTTCGAGTGGTGCGTACGCGGGTGCGCTCGGGTTGTGACGAGGAGTGAACGGCCGATGTGGTAAGTCGGCTTCGGGGCAGGTGAGGCATGTTCCTCGTGCTCGTTGGAGTTCTCTTCCGTCGAGTAGTAGTAACGAGTCCTTGTCAAGGACTCCTGCTCTTATTGTGTTGTTTAACACAGTGTTGCTTGGGTGTCCCATCCTTGCGTGCCAGGTACTTTCGTCGGCGCGATGCCCGGGTGATCGTCGGTACATGTCGGAGTTGGAGTAGAAGCTGGCGATGAAGTTTGCACTACGATGAACTTCTCGTGGTGCTGGGTGGAGCTGTTGTGCTGGTGTTGGCGGTGTTTCGTCGACGAGATGGTCTCGTTGTTGGTGCTGCTCTTGTTGTTCCTGCTGCTGCCGATGATGTCCCTGTTGCTGCCGATGTTGTCTCTGCTGCTGCCGATGTTGTCTCTATTGCTGCCGATGTTGTCTCTGCTGCTGCCAAATGTTGAATTGTTACTAACGCGCGTGTTCGTTCTGCTTCAAGAATGGTATGTGAATACCAAAAGCCTTCCGGACTGAAGTGTGGATCAAGATCTGGAGGGTGTGTCCAGTCGGCGAAGTTCAGGATGGTGTCGCTGTCTGCGGTGCCCAGGTCTGGGACGAAGTCAAGGACGAAGACGTTGTTCTTCAGGACCGCCTTTCCGATGTAGAGGCCGCCCTTCCCGTGGTACAATTTGAACTCCTGGGTGGTACTGTCGGCTTCCAGGTGTATGCCTTTCGCCATCAACTGACTGACGCTCAGTAAGTTGTAGCCAAGTCCCTCCGCGATTAGTACCTTTGACATCTGTAGTATAACATTTGTCTCTCGTGACTGAAGTTGCACAATTCCCTGTCGTCGTGTGCGCAGGTTCTGGTTGTTGGCGACTGTGATGACAACCTCTCGTTGAAGTCGGTGCTCACGTTGAACGAAGCGTCCCGAGGAGCACATGTGCTGTCCGCAGCAACTGTCCAAGAACCATGTGTCTTTCCCGGACGGCTCGCTTTGAGCGATGGCAGCGTACGTCGGGTTCGGTTGAAGTGACTCGCGGCGAGGCGTGCTGTTGTCGAGTTGTTCTTCTGGTGAGTAATGTGGTGGTGACTCAGTTACGCAGGAGTCCCTTAATCTTGCCATGCAGCTGATGATGTTTCTTGTTTCTTTCGCAGATTGTCCCGTTGATGTTGTTGAGACTTGTACTGACGTTGTCGGACTTGCTTGCGTTGAGGCGACTTGACTGCTTGAAGGGCGAAGTTGGCGTTGCGGTGGCGTTGACTGTTGTCGGTTCGGGCAGTGCGTACGAGGATGTCCTGAAGTCTTGCAGAGGTGGCAGAACGGAGGTACGATTTTCGATCGACTGTTGTTGTTGTTGTTGTGACGCCGTTGAGTGTGAAACACGAATTCGGGTACTGACACCTTTCTCTTGTGTCGTTCTTCTTGCAGGTCCATGTCTTGCTGCTCAGCATGGATTTCAGCGCAGAGTGCTGCTTCGGAGATTCTCCCGTGTGCTCGTAGTATGGCGCGAGTGGAGCGCCAGTGAGGGCCAAGACCGCCGATGACAACCGTGACAAAGGCGTCTTCTGAAATCGATCCTCCACATCGAAGAAGCTTGTCGCGCAGCTCGCGCCAGCGACTGATATACGTCATTCCCTTCTCGCCTGGTTTCATTTCGATTGTTGTCAGTTGCGCCATTAAACGACTTCGGTTTACGCTGTCTGTTGCTTGATACAGGTTCTTCAAATGGTTGTACGCGAGCTCCGCGGAGTTGCCATATCCTCGGTAAGTCCTTATGTTCTGCTGTTGAGTCGAAGTGATGTTCCTCAGTAGTATTGTGTACGCCATCATCGATTGATAGGTGTACTGCTGCTTCTCATACTGTGTGCCGTTTGTTGGGTATGGCAGGGACCCGTCGAAGAAGCCAAGGATTTGCGCTCCTTCCATCATCAGCTCGAATTCGAACGACCAGGTAAAGAAGTCCTTCCCGTCGAAGGGTTTTGTCGTTTGCAATTTTAGAACGTGCGCGAACTGCGACTGAACTTGTAGTTCGTCCAGCGCTCTTTCTTGTCCCGGTGCAGGTTGTGGTTGTGGCATGAAGCTGACGGAGCCGCGCTGGGGCTCGTACGGAGCGAAGGTAGGTTGTTGTTGTTGATTCCCGCGTGCATAGGATGAGCCATCGAGACTCATGGGCGTCACGTTGTTGTTGTTGTTGCTGTTGTTTGATTGCGCAGTTACTCCTTCCTGGTGCTGCTCGTAGAAGGACATGAAGGAGAAGAATTTCTCCATCATGCTTGGATCGAAGCCCGCGCCTTGGTTTGCGGGTGTTTCAGTAGACCCAGCGGCCGGTCTCGTTGTTGTGCCTTCCTCTGTCTGTACACCAGATGCAGGAGGTGGAGTAGGAGTAGTACCAGGAGAGCCGTTGGAGGAGCTTCTTTCCTTCCTGGTAGACATGTCTCTTGGTGTAATTGAAGAAGTAATAGAATTTTACCCTAGCCTGCTCTCATACCATGTTGGGCTGAATGCCCCTTAGGATCTTTAGTAGGATGAAAACTCTGTGTAAAGTGATGTAGTAGCGGAAGCGTTTTAAGGAGAAGATTCTGAACCACCTTGTGCTGGTATATGAGGGCAAAGTAAGTTAATTGAAGCAAACAAGTACAAAGGCTTATACAAGAGTACAAGGAATACGAAGGGATATGAATGATAACTGTCTTACTGTTGGCTGTTGCGGTTCGATACAGTGCGACTCGGGCAACTGCTCAATATCGAGTCAGTTGTGTGTCCTTGCTGTTGCGCTGCCTTTGTCAGGTCAAAGGTCACTGACCTTTGACTTTCACGTAACCTCCAGCGGTTACTTCAACCTTTGAGGGTTGACTCGCTGGTGCCTCGATATGATCTGCTTCGCTTGTGCCTTGGTGTTTCGACACGATAGAAGCGTTTTTAGGATCGATTGTTTCCAACAGGTTTGAGGGTATGCTGATGGATCAACGTGCCCCGGTCGCCCAGGTGTCCAAATCAGCATTCATGGTTTTCTTTATACTGATTTTGCCACTGTAAAAGTTATAAGTAAACTGAACCATCAGTGTAAAAAAGAAATAGAAAGTTGAATTTCCCGTTCAAAATTTGTCGCTGTGAGAGCTCCTTCCAGCGATGCAGAACACGTCGGCACGCGATCTGTACAGCGCATGCATCGTTAAGTGTGTGAGTGAGGTCTTGTGAATCCCGGGCCAGGTACAGACTGTACACACGCGTACCACCCCGAATCGGTCTAGTCCGTTTCAGTGTGACTCACGACACTACACTGATTCGTCAGTGCTACTTGTACAGCAACACGGAAAATGGTCAGTGTGGCAAGGTATGTTATACTAAAATTTCAGTGCAAATTTGAAGCATATGCTGAATTTTCACAGAAAACGAAAATATGAGCTACAAAATCAGCGTAATCAGCGTGTTTTACGCTGATGTCTGAGGGCCTGCTGATGTGGGTGTCTGTACGTTATAGCATGTCAATGGTGCATCGCTTTTCATGACCAGTAGATACTACTCGCCCTTGCATAGTAGTACCGTATACTCCCGGACAAAACACCCCCCCATAATTGTACACCCCCGGGTAGCTTGTGCGGGGTGGGTGTTATGGGGAGCCTCGTTTCTACTATACCCCCCTTTTTGCCTGATTCTCTATAAGACCCGGGGGGGTGTTATGGGCGGCAAAAATACTGAATTTGCTTACATTGCATACAGGGTACTTTACAGGTACTACAGAAGTAATGTGCCAGCACATAGTCATCGACAATGTCACCTAGACTGCAGAAACATCACCACAAGAGCACCTCACATCCACAATTTCACCTAAAAAAACTCTATACAAAGTGCCTTCTACTCAGAATCGTCTCCTGCATGCCATTCTTTACAGTCTTCCCCGTCAAAGCGGCCAGGGCGCCACCATTCGTCATCGCTGGGCTCTTCTGCCTCCCCGCCTTCCTCAAGCACGCCCCCCTCCTCCTCTGCCGCCGCCGCTTCCGCATCCTCCTCAGCGGCGTCAGCCTCCTCTGCCGCCGCCTGCAGCTCCTCGGCCGGCATGGGGACTTCGACGTAGAAGGGGTTGACGACGAGCTCGTCGTCAACCAGGTCGTTGACGTCATCAAGGACTTCCACCTCACCCTTGTCCCGCATGTGGGCAAGGATGAGGTGGTCCTCGCTGCCATCGATGGGGGTGGAGATCCCACACGTGACGAACGCCTTCTTCACGAGCTCCTGTGGGATTGCTTCCTAGGACTCATCGATCCAGTGGAGCACCAACTCCGCTGGCGGCTTCTTGAGATTGCCTGAGGGAAGGGGAAGGGTAGAGAAGGACAAATGTGAATTTCCAGAGCGTAAGCCGACATTGATTCAAAGTTACACATGCGGATGTCATGGTTCAACTCACCGGACTTGGTGGTGGTGTTGATGCCCTCTTCTTCGAACCAGCCACTGTAGCGATGACGCACACCGCACTTGAACGCGCGGTTGATTGACACATCCAGAGGCTGCACTAGCGGAGTGCAGCCCCCTGGGATGACAGCCCGTGACAGCCGAAACATCCTCATGGTCTGCCCGACCGCCTCAGTCAAGTGGCCGCGGTAGGAGTCAAGCACAACCAAGGCCTCCCTGCGGCGTCCAGTTGATTCACGCAAGGGCTTCATAAACGGCACCATCACATGGGTGATCCAGTCCTGCACAAGTGATTCGTCCATCCACCCTTTGTCTTGTGCACGGACCACCACACCTGCCAAAGAATACCGGTACGTTAGGGTCAAATTCGGTTGCGACTGTTGACACGCTACAGTAGTGACATCATCCTAAACATGCTACGCTTACCGGCAGGGATGGGCACCTTCGGTATGGACTTGCTCTTGAACACCACGTACGGCGGCAGCTTGAGCCCGCTCGCAGTTACTGCCAGCATGACAGTAACACGCTCCTTCTCATAGCCCGCACTCCGTACGTGAACCGTCCGCGCTCCCTTCATTTCGAGCGTGCGCTCCGCCGGCATCTCCAGGAAAAGCGGGGTTTGGTCCGCGTTCAAGATGAGGTCAAGCGGGTAGTCGTGCAGAGAGCGCATCTGGCGCACAAACTCCCAAAAGGACTCCACCTTGGCCTTGCAATCTGCAAGCAAAGCCACGAGACACATTAGCTCAGCACTGAGATGGCAATCAAGGAGCACGACGGCGCAACACTTACCCGCTGCCAACTTCTGTCCCATCTTCGTCTTCACCCGCCTCGCCAGATGCCAGCGCGCGCGGAAACGAGTCGCCCAGTGGAACGATGCGCGCCAGTTGACCCCGGGCATCTGGTGCTTCATGTACTTGGCGCTCCACTTCTGGAGCATGCTGACCGAAACGGCGAGCCCCCTCCCCCTGTGCTTGAGGAACTGGCGGTAGACCGCCCTTTCCATGAAAGGGAACTTGGACTTGTGGCCAGCTCCCATGAGGCGACGACGGCAGCTGGAAGAGACCTCCAGCCGCTCCCTCATCTTCTTCCAATCGCAAATCTGGCATGGCTGCACCTTCGCGAGCTTCGCCAGGGCGCGATTCGACAGGTCGGGCTGCGAGTCCTGCATCTTCAACCAGTGGAGCTTCTCCTTTGCGGTGATTCCCTTGCGCTGGCGAGGGGATGGCGGGTCAGCATCGGCGTTGCGCTTCTGCTGTCCCTGCGGGCTGTTCCGCTCCGGGAACGTGGGTACAACCACTCGAGGAAGGGTAGGGCGAGGACGGTCCAAGCTACTGCTCGGTTCATCCCTGGTAGAAGCACTACCGGGATCATCTGGCTGAGGAAAGATCGGGCGAGGAGACGTCCGTGCGCGTGCAGAAGCGCTAGTCTGATTGGTGGAAACAGGCCGCTGCCGCCTATCTACCGTACTGCTAGAATCTGGAGATGAAGCCATGCTTGGGAACTAAGGCAGGTCGATGTCACTCGCCATGGGAGAAATGACTTTTAAAGACGATACCCTCGTGCAAAGGAAGGAGATGCTCTCACAGCCTGCCGAGCATTTGTTAAAGACGTGCACTGGAACCGCTTGACGAAGAGAAGAGCAAGCTTGGGTGAGGAAGCTTGGACGTGACTACCGTACACGGGAGTCAAGGGGTCACAGGTATAGTGACAACACAGCACCGTGCGCGATTCCGGTCTCGTACTGCATGAACCCAAGCTGCTCGAGGTTGGCACTGATGTCAACCAATCAGGTGGCACAGTGGGCCCACTGGAATTTGCCATGTGGCAGATTCCAGTGGAGGACGACGTTATCCTCGTAGACGCGGTTTGGCGGCCCTGATAAAAAAAATAATAATAAGGCCAGACCCCTGTTTTTGTTTCCATTCATTTCTGCTTATAAAAAAATGTGCAAGATAATAAGACCCGGGTATTATGTATTTTTTTCCTATGAGGAGACCCCCCCCCATTTTTTCCCTGTATTTTTAGCTATACCCTAGGGTGTTATGTCCGGGAGAATACGGTACCGGTAACCAATATTGAATGCGCACACTAGAATGCATGGGTTTGAGGGTTGATTGACTGGGCCTGGTGTATACCAACTACACCTACATGCATGACCGAGGTGACCAATTGAGGAAGCAAGCATGTACCATTCACATGACTAGGTGAAGAAACCAACGAGAGGCCACCTCCACAAACAGGGTAAATTACACTCCTCAGGTATTTAGTTCCTGATCCCGGTTCAGTACCAGACCTCAAGGTCTTCGTTCCCAAGCCACAAGCGGCTGGTGAAATCCACCCGACATTGCACCTCCACCTGCAGAGCCTGCACTGAGTGCACCCTGCACAGCCTCACTGTCCAAACTACCGGCTCTAGCTCGGGCGTACGGTTTGCTCTGGCCCAAGCCCATCGATGATGCTGAAAAGCCATCCCGGTGATGTTCTTGTGTGTGTGCCGTGCTGCTACCCGGAAGGAATGACAGAAACTGAAACGGGGGGGGGGGGGGGGGGAGGGGAGGCCTGAACGAGATTGTGAAACATTGTGTGCATGATAAGCTGTGAGCTCCTGGCAAAGTATTGTTCCGCTGTGAGTAGCCAGCCGGGGTCTTTGTGGGAGTGTATTCTATATTTGAGGTGCCTAACAGCACGTAGAACTGCGTGATTGTGAGCAGTCAGCTGGGGTCGTTGTGGGGGTGCGGCACCACAGACTGTCGAGAGAACTGCTCCCCTAACACCCTCAGCTGCTCCTCGTTTTTTGAGACGTCTCAAAACACTCCTTTTTTCTCATTGTGGGGGTGCGGCACCACGAACTGTCGAGAGAACAAGGAGCAACTGCTTTCCAAACACCCTCAGCTGCTCCTCGTCCCACTTGTATTGCAGCTTCCACCCCTGGGTGAGATGGGGGGGAACAAGGGGTAGAGCAAGGTGAGGAGAAGGGGTGGAAATGAGGAGGAAGGGAGTGGGGCACAAATGACACCCTCCTCGTTCCACTCGCCCCCCTTGTATTGCAGATTCCATTCCAGCCCTGAGGGATGGGGACAACAAGGGGGGAGGGGAAAATGACGGGGGTTGAAAGGATCTGGGGAAGTAGAGTAAAAATTGCGGCACTGAAAACACCCCCGGCTACCGGTCATCTCAGCCTCCACTCATGGGGAGACGGGGAGGAAGTAGGGGAGAGGAAAAGTGGGGCAAGGAAGGTGGGGGGGAGAAAATACGGTATGGGGGAGTGAGGGGGCAGTGGGGGTAGGAGAGATGGAAGAGTGCGCCACCAGGGCGACCCTCCTCCTCCCTTTCGTCCCTTGTGTTTCGCAGGGAGAATGAGGGAGATTGAGTGTTGGAAGGGGACGGTTGGGAGAGCCCATGGAATTAGAGTTCATCATTCCGCAGAAACATTCTCGCCCCTGCAGGGCAATTTTGAGAACTCAAAATAATACCCTGCCTCTCTCAGAAGCTTCCAACCCCGCATCCTCATCACATTCAGGCCTTCTCTGGTGTCCAGCACTGTACATACGGTAGTACTTCTCTAAATTATATTTCGGATTCTTAGTAACCAATACCAAAAGAGACTCCCAAAAAAGGTTTTATACACCAAAGCATCGATCGACCAGCAGCTTTCACGCTGGAAATAGAGATACTATTTCTAACTTCTAAGCATCGGTCAACCCACCCACTATTCAGGCATCTCATATGCACTCCATATGACACAGAAAGGGTGTTCAGTTTCAGTCACAGATGTGAGCACAGTGAGACGAAATTAACACACAGTGACCATGTGAAGGCAGGGCAGTGAGCAACGTGGAAGAGCATACTATCACACACGTTCGTAGACACTACTTACCACAAGGGATGGGCTGGGGAAGAGCAGGCAGCGGCGGTGCTCAGGGCAGAGTCAGTTGTTGCCATCGAACTGGTTGAGGTTGGCAGACGTCACCATTGGAGGCCTTGAGCTTCACGCTGGTGAGTGGCAGGCGCCTACAATATCCCTTGAAGGCCGACGCTGGCAGGTTCTTCTAGAACGTGCAAGCATACACCTTGTTCGGCTGGAGAGGGAGAGGTGGAATTCAGGCAGATGAGCAACCCCCCAACCTTTTAAAGTATATAAATGTCCAGCTCGTGCCATGAATTCACTGGTGTATCTACTAAGGGTTCCATATACGGCCACTGGAACGAAAGTACAGGGAAGAAAAAGAGCGACATTAAGACAAAGATGGCAGCAGCTTATGCGTGGGAAGAGAATCCAAGCCGAGATGAGAACACAACACAGAGTGCACACAAGATGGTTTGAAAAAATATAATCGGCCATACCTACTCAGATAGCTTGAGAAAACCGGGAAGAGGGGAGGAGACGGGGGGCGGGGGAGTGGGGGAGTAGGGAGAGGGGCGGGGGAAGGAGAGGGGATATTTGGGAAGAAGGTCGAGGAAGTGGAGTGACGAAGAAAAACAATGAAAACAGACCGTTCAGTCTAGTGTAACACTCACCTGTCTAGGAGCATTGAACTAATCGCCAGCGTGCGCAATTGATCTCGCCAGTTTCACTACGTTGCGTAGTGCAGTATTTCGCCCTGTCGCGTCAATCTTGACCTTGTAACTCTTCTTAACTTTTTTTTCCCCAACGCTTCTGACAGCATCAAGCGAACGTCAGGGGCAGTTTCGAGGCTCACGGGGCGGCCGCCGTTGTGCTGAGAGAGCACGGCGCACCGCCGCCGGATATGACGGGGAAGCGCAGCGAGGGGAGACCGAGCGGACCGGCAGCAGATCAAAGTAGCAATCGCAGGCGGGGAGAAGCGCCGAAAGCCAGACATATCGGCGTAACGGCGAGTCGCCTTGTCTCGACTCGGCTCCAGGAAGTCGATTATTCCTGCTGGAGCGTGTCTCAGCCATTCGATGACGACGTGGAACCCCAATCCAGCAAGACTTAGAATCGGGCCGCGCGAGGTGGACGACGCTGAGTCCGTCCATCAGACTGAACACGCGACGCGCTGAACGAGTCGCTAAAGAACACCCTTTTAGACGTCACGCCCCTATCGAGAAACTTGTCTTACTGAAGGATTTGGTTAGGAGAGGGCAAAATGGGGGGTATTGGCGGATGGGGGGGGAGCTGGAACGCTCGCTTGGGGGCCGCCTGGAGAAAGGGGCGGCGGAGAATCACGGGCGGGAAAGTCGAGATTGGGGGTTTGGGAAGAGAGCGGGTGCTCATTGGTTGAAACCATGAAGGGCCCTTTCGTCATTCCCTTGGTCCCCCTGACCCCCTCACACTCAGGCGCGTCACACAGCTTGCTGCGTTCAAAGATCATCTTCCAGTGTTTAAAACGGTGAGTCACGGTTAAAAGTGTTGAGGTCAACAGACCTCTCAGAATTGCACTTCATCGTACTCAAACGCAGGAAGAGAACCGAAATGTAGTATCTCTGATTCGCCGGCTGTTCCGCGCCCTTATCCACTCACAGATATCCAGTGTCCAATCCTGTTCGCAAACCAATTTTCCTCCCCCATAGCTCCCTTGGAACTTGGGATTAGTTGCAGCTGTCAGAACCTGGTAACTTGTGTTCCCTCGTGCAAGTAAGGCCTCTTAGCTCAGAGTCCAGGAGCTCGCGATGGGGGTCCAGGCGCTAAGTCAGCTAAGCTCCCTCACATCGTCAACGTCCCAGTTGACATTGCTGCAGTCCCGCTGTCGTTCTGCTCCTGGAAGCTCTTTTGTTTGCCGCCGTGCGGTGTTAGTAAGAGCGTTGGCGCAATCCCCCAAAGGATTCGGAACGAAGCCCGTGAAACCCGCGTCTCCGCCGAAGCAGGCCGAACAGGTCAAGGAGGAACCCGTTGTGAAGACCGTTCGCGAAGACATTGACGATGAAGTTCCCGAAGTGGTTACAAATCGCATCTTGAAGCGGCTCGCATTCACCGTTGGCGTCCCTCTGTTCATCGGCCTGTCCTTTTTCCCGCTCTTCTACTATCTGAAGGTCATCCAAAAAGTTGACGTTCCGGATTGGCTGCCGCTACTTACGTCCTTATTCACCTTCGGCGGCGCGGGATTAGGGATTTCTTACGGAGTGATCTCCACGAGCTGGGATCCGCTTAGAGAAGGTTCGCTGTTAGGCTGGACGGAATTCAAGGCGAACTGGCCAGTGTTCATGCAGACCATGGGGAAAGGCAAGAAGTGAGCGTCACTTATGTCTGCAAGAGTTTTCGCTCCACAGGCACAGCGTCAAGCTGTCTGACTGAACTCGGATTGCTGAGTGTGTATGGAATTTTGTAGTTATCTAGAACGTCTGTTTCAAATAGGCTAGGTTGCGTCCAAGCATCCGTTCCAGTGGTACCTGCTGATTGCCTTAGTAGTGGTATGTCTCTCTTCTACACCTTGATAGGGCAGTCAGGGTTCACAAGTTGCCACTAGGTTTTGAAGTGTGACATTCTATTGCTCGGTTCGGTGAGTATGCACGCATTCAGGCTACGGTGCCATTTTTCAGCCTTTGGTGAAGGGGAAATTAAAGAGGTTTTACCACCAGTATCGCATCACTCTGCGAACAAGGCTTGGATGGATCTCACGATTACGGTGCAAAAAAGCATGTCAAGTAATGCCAGTACAGTACATCATCCACACCACCACACGGAGAAAGAAAACACGTGCATGTGCAGTTTGCACTCCAATCCACTACTGCAGCAATCCACTGCTTGCCTGTGCTTGCGAAAAGCACTTGCCTGGGGATTGAGTGTCCTTCCCTGCACTGCACGTGTCCAGAAACCCCCATAGCTCGCAACTGAGCAAAATCCAGTCCACAGCCCTATCTCATCACACTGTCATCCTGTCACCCTTGTCACCCTTTCCCCCGGTCACCCTTGTCACCCTTTCACCCGGTCACCCTATCACCCTGTCACCCTCTCACCCTATCACCCTGTCACCCTGTCATCCTGTCATCCTGTCAACCTGGTGTGGTCCTATCTTACACAATACCCTGGGCCAGACACTCCCACCAACTTACCATTTCAGTCACACCACTGATAACCCACGCTGCAGCAACTGTCACAAGCCGCTGACCAAGGCTGCTCACAGCCACGGAAGCAGCGCTCGAATCACCCCAAACGGGTACAGGAACTTCTCTGGTAAGAAATCACTCACTGCAGTCACATTCGCTAAAATCCCCGGCCGTAGCCACGGCACACGCGGTCCGTTTGCCCCCGGCCCTGTATTGTTGAACTCGATAAAGCTTATAGTATCGTTCACCTGCCCGTTCCAATCCATCCATCCGAGCGAACTGACTTGAGGCGAGAGATACGAGTTGATCACCGCTGCACGAGCGTAGCTCTTCCAAGGGCGGCCCAGAAAGCCCACGACGCAACGGGTGGTTTCCCCAACTACCCGGGAATTCATGATGACGAGGCCCGTGGGGTCGGTGGAGGTTTGGCGGCTGGAGGCTGCAACAGGGGCGCCGCTGGTGTGCTGGCGGATTTGAATGGTGCAGTTGTCAAAAATAGCAGCTGCATTTCCGAAGATGAAGTCTACATTGCCGGTTATGAAGCAGTTGCGGTAGTACTGACGGCCGCTGTGGGTGTAGAGTGTATCCTGGGAAGAGGGTTATGAGGAGAGATCACCTCAGTAAGTGCGGTTGAGCAGCGGAAAGCACGGATAAAAAAGTAGAGAGTGAAACGATAGAATAACCCATCCCAGATCTTCCTCTTATGTAATTTAGGGAGAACATTTTTCTTCTTAAAGTCATGCCTTACCTGCTCTCACGCCGTTTTACCTGAAGACACTGTAGCACCAGCAGTTGCAAAAGGCGGATTGATTCCTTCTTGGTATTGCAATGCACAAATCCCTTACCACTTGAATTTCCGTCCCACCTGGAATCCTGCACCACCTAGCATCCATCCCTCATGCCCCCACATGAAACCCACATGTTTCCCACATGAGCCAATGCACATGCATCTCATGCGTTCTCACCTGGAACGCGCATTGGTTTGCCGACACCCTTAGTGCGCAAACAGGTTGGGGAGCTTGCACTTACTTTCAATACGCATGTGCGTTCTCACCTGGAAACCCCAGAACTCGCAGTTGTGGAACGCGCATTGGTCTGCCGACACCCGCAGCGCCACCGCCTGGTTGTTGATCTTGCCTGCTGTGTTCTCGAATCGGATGTTCACCGCTGCGAAGTAGTCACCCTCAATAGCTGAAATAGAGATGGAGGGAGAGGAGTACGGGGAGTGCGGGTGGAGGAGGGTGCAAGAATGTGAGGAAAAGGTGAGAGGAGAGTGGCATAAGACTTGCTAACTTATACCATCCTACCTTTCTGCAAGCCCTTATTATTATCTGAACCATCAACCAAGAGGAATGTCTGTTCAGGAAGGAGAGAATGTAGTTGGTGAAAAGTCTCTTACCAACAGTGGCGCTGTTGAATGTAGTGTAGTTGGTGCCCACACTCGCGTTTCCGGTGATGATTGTGAGCGCGGGAGACAGCCCCACGAGCGTGATGTTGGGTTTTCCAACTTCGAAGCGCTCCTTGTAAACGCCTGGCATCACGAGAATGACGAAACGGCCTTTGGGCTTCTTGGGAGCTGAGAGGAGCGCGTCCTGTACATTGCAGAATAAGACTACATAAAACAGGTTATTTTAAAAGGATATTGGATTAAGCAATCAAACGAGCAGGATATGGTAGCGGAATAAGTGGAGAAAGCTGTTCATCATGTATACAAATAATTCAGCTAGAAAATAGAATCTTACCTGGATAGTGGTGAAGTCCCCGGATCCGTCCTGTGCCACCACCAGGTTGGGCATAAGGCGGGGGATGGAGAAGGGTGCAAGGAGGGGGGGAGGCCGCACTATGGGCTTGGGGCAGTCGGGGGGGAGGGCTGGGGGCTTTTTAGGGGGAGGAGGAGGAGGGGTGGGCGGGGGGAAAGAGGGGGGTGCAGTTGGAGGGTCAGCAGTGCCGTTGGCTTGTAGGAGGGAGGAGGAGGAGGACGAGGAGGAGGAGGAGGAGGACGAGGAGGAGGGGGAGGGGGAAGAGGGAATGCGTTTCCGGCCCTCAGTTTCTGCTGGTGCTGTGCTGGCAGTGGGTTCGTCCACATCAGCAGGGGGGACTTCCACGTCAGAAGCTTGGCCTTCCACGTCGTCAGGCCCGTCAGAGGAAGATCCAGTGGGGCCCACATAAGGATCAAGGTCCAAGTAGGGGTCTTGAGGGCTCGTACCCTCTTCATCTCCCACTATCTCTCCTACTACTTCTCCTTCCCCTCCCCCAACAACCCACCTTACCTCCCCCCCTTCCTCACCTCCTGCCATTTGTTCCCCCTCGACTCCTCCCACTGCCACTCGTTCTCCTTGCTCTTTCTCAGCCTCAGCATCCCCTCCATCTCCTACACTCCCTTCTACTCTCTCCCCAGCACCCCCATCCTGCATCCTCCTCCCTCTCTTCTCCTCCTTCCCCTTAACGCCTCCCCCTCCCATCATGGACGGCCACGATTCAGCCAACAAACGACCGTCAGATGCCGCGGCACCATCCTGGCCGTTGACCGGCGTTAAACCTACACTGCTGCCACGTGGCCCCCCTTCACTGGTGCTCTGGTCGTTCCCGCTGGGAGAGGTTGGGACCGCCACGTCCTCCTGGGTCGACGATGGCGGTGGCTTTTGAGGTGACTCAAAAGTCACCTCGTTGCTGCTGGGAGAGGCTGGGACCGCCACGTCCTCCTGGGTGGAGGATGGCGGTGGGGGTGCCACGTCATTCGACGAATCAGAAGGAGCGTTGGTGCTTGTACTCCCATCAGCACTACCAGCATCACCAGGAGCAGCAGGGGCAGGAGGAGGAGGAGCAGAAGCAGCGGCATCACCAACATCAGCACCATCACCACCGTCATCATCAGTAGCAGTGGCGGCAGCAGCAGCAGCGATTTGCTGCAGGTCGATAGTTTGCTGCTGGAGAGTCACGATGGAATCACGAAGGTCTGCCGCTGTTTCCTGATTCGACCAGTGGGCGACAAACGCAGACCGACAAGGAAAGGGAAGAGAGGAATACGGGATAAGAGGTGAGAGAGATTGCCTACTACTGTTGGTTCCGGATTGTTTTGCACTTACACCCTGCCAGCGCGGTAGCTCGTGCCCGCTTGACACTCCTGCGCGCACCAACTCACCCGCGCACCACCCGCAACTCACCCGCACTTGCGCAGTCATGCCATACCGCCCGCTTCCTCCACCATCCCCGCCCTCTGCGTCCTCCGTCCGCCTCACGAAATCGAACGAGCCCTGACAGTTGTCCGCCATCGTCGCAGCGCCCGAGAGCTTAAAGACCGCGTCCGACGCGTCCGCGTCGCCCGTTTCCAGAATCTCCGCCGCGCGGTCCAAGCTGAGCTGCGAGAGTGACAACTGGCGGTGGGGGAAGACCGGGGGGGATAAGGAAGTCGGGGGGGGAAGACCGGGGGGGATAAGGAAGTCGGGGGGGGAAGACCGGGGGGGATAAGGAAGTCGGGGGGGGAAGACCGGGGGGGATAAGGAAGTCGGGGGGGGAAGTTTTGAGACGTGTCACAACTAGATTTCCGCCGTGCGGTCCAAGCTAAGCTGCGAGAGCAACAGCCGGCGGATGAAGGGAAGACGGGGGGGAAGACGGGGGGGTAGACGGGGGGGGAAGTTTTGAGACGTCTCAAAACTAAATTTCCGCCGCGCGATGAATGCTGAGCTGCGAGAGCGACAGCTGGCGGATAGGGGGAAGATCCGGGTATGGGGAAGACGGGTGGGAGAAGGGGGTGGGGGTGGGTAAGGATGGGGGGAGAACAGGGAGATGGATGCGGACGCGGGGGGCTTGCGCCTCTTCCGTTCCCGTTCGCTCACATAGCTCTCCATAATTCACGCAATCGTACCTGGTGCACGCAGTCGCGCGCAACTTGCGTCCACATATCCCGCGTGTCCGCACCCGCGCCCGCGCGCGCTCCTTCCGCTAACCACTGGCGCACGAGGCTCAACGCCTGCCCGCGCGCCGCGCCCGCCTGCGCCATCGCCGTCTTCAACCCCGCGGCAGCTCGGCGCGCTTTAAGCTGGAACTTGGCGGCGTTCCAAATCGGCAGACTGCGCAGCGCGATTCCCCAAGCGCCCTTCTTCCCCTTCTTCCCGCTCCGCCCTCCGCTTCCCCCGCCCTTCCCCTTCCGCTTTCCACCGCCCTTGAGAGTGCCGAGAAAGGCTTCGGTTCCGCCGGGTATCCCGCTTCCGCTCTTGCTCCCTGCGCCCTTGCCGTTACTCTTGCCTGCCCCTTCCCTCTTTGCCTTGCCCTTTCTCTTTCCGCCCTTCCGCGGGGAATATCCGCCTGTTCCGACTTTCTTTCCGCCAACGGTTTTCGCCGCCTGCAGAAATTCCTGATTCGTTCCGGTCGCGAGGAGGATCTCCATGTTCTGCGAAACGACGCGCGATTCCTCATGTTGTAACAGCAGCTGTTCGCCGACTAAATGTCCTTTCGCGAGAGTGGTAACAGGATGAAACGAAACTAGCACCACTACGATGAGGAGAAAGCAGGCCAAGATTCCTGGCGTGCCGAACGGTCGTCTCGGCTTCATCATATCAACGAGAAGTTGATGCGACGTACTCATGCTTGTGAGTGGGCCGGCGAGTCGCATATCGCACGGGAGCGTTGTGCGACGGCGAGCTTGGTGCGACTTGAGGATTGGGGAAATCTGCGCCTTAGATGCGAAGAGGTGCGCTGAATTGAAGTGACCATGTGGAACGAGGTTCGAAAGTTTACTTACGCGGAAACACTGACCCCGTGGTGGTACGAGGCGACACTTCCCGCATGTGGAGGTACAAAGGCTGGATTTCTCGGGTGAACACTCTCGTATCTGGAATTGTTAGGTAGTATGAGGAGTTTCGAATTCCCGCAAACCCGCTTGCTGTTGCTAGTGACTCAATGCAGCCTCTAGATTCAAGGCACGAATGCTCGACTTGTGTCCCGAGCATACTCCTCGTTAACCTTGTCATTATACTGATAACAGCTGGATTCCTGAGGCCGACGCGGCGAGCTAACAAACGAGTCGAGCGAAGGCTTGGAGCGACGGCTGAATCATCACTGGAGTTGCATGGCGGCCCCTTCTGTCCGCAGCAGAAGCGAAGGGCAGGAATTTCCGTCAGAAGGAACGACATAGAATTTGTGCTGGAGCAGGTGACGCCCGGCGGAAGATCCAGGGCAGAGGCAAGGGTGGAAACGTAAGAGCTTTTTGTTTGGAAGGTAACTATTCCGATTTCCCAGTTTTTGGAGCCAATTCGAAGGAAATACTGTACTTCTGAAGCTTCTGTGCTGTAGTTTATCCTGTATTCCTAGAAGGGGAGAGGGAGCGAATCTTCCACTACGCGAAAGTGGTGTAGGTTTCTATTAGGGCAATGTTCCTCCAATTGCAAGAAAAGGTGGTTAGTATGACTGACCGAACTGAATTGACTTCCCGGAGAACAAAATATTTGTGGACCTTGCTCTGTGGAGCCGTCAGCGCGGGTCGCCTGACCCAGCTGAACCAGAGATGCGGCGCGGACGTCTGGTCAGTGGCTCTGGAATGCGGTCTGGTTACCTGTCAGTCGAGGCAATTGCTGGATTTCTTTGTTATTTCTCTTGCTTCCTGAAGAGTTAGGCAACTTCTTGACGAATCTACTTGATGTGAACACTATATGAAACCGAAGCAGTTTGTACAGAATATTGAAATTTGGTCTCAATTGCTGATGTGGACCCTGAAACCTCGTCAACAGCAACTCGGGACCATCTGGATGAGCTTTCGCTGACGTGGATATGTATGACTCGTTGTATCAAACCACGGGGTATTTATGTAAGTTCTGATAGGGCAGCGCCGTCAAACCCCTCGGCAACTGTTGTTCTGGGCCCCTTCTTGGCTTGGTGTTCATTGGGAGGGGAGGGGAGGGAGCCGCTCTAGTTTAGCAACCAATCGCGGTCTTCCGAAGGCTTCCCAAATTTACACCTCAGCTGACGGTAACGTCCTCGAGATTGCACCAGTCCAACCTGCTCCACAATCTGTCGCAAAATTGTGTATATGAAAGGTGCACTTCGGTTGGATACGGTGAATAGTTACAAGAGATTTCCTTTACCTTGCCACCGTGTTCAACCGCTGTGAACCCGAATATACCGTATAGTGAAACAGCACACGCATTCTTGAGTCGAGACCTTGGTAATACTGGTCTGGGGATCAGCCAGCTCACTTTCCTTGCTCCAGTTTGCCCTAATCCCTAATCTTCCTTCCTGCGCGGGGAAGGATTGGTTTTGTTATTTGTCTCCTGCATTCACCTCAGGAGCTGCAGCTCCTTCCAGTGCATTTTTGTTTCGTGCACTTATTCGTGCACGAAGGAGAATTTTCGGTACAGCTTCTCCCGCATTTCTTTCTTGTGACTTATCTTCCAAGCCGAGGAATCTGGTTGATCAGTCAAAATGTGTGGCATTCTCGCCTGCTTGAGCTCGTCCGATGACTCGCCTGGCATGCGCGCGCGAGTGCTTGAGTGCTCCGCTAGGTGAGCTTATCCCGCCTGTAGGTCGCTGTTAGATTTCTATAGGTTTGAGCTTCGCGTTAAGAGACATCTCGCTGTTAAGTTTTCTCGGATGATCAAGGATTAGTGCTAAACAATATGCTTCCGTCTGGTCGCCGTTACGTGCATGCTATTATTGTAAAAGATTTCCGCTTTCGTTGGTTTCAGCTTCCAATGTTGATCCCAACAGGCCCTAGCATGTCATTCTGAGAGCACACACGCAAAATGCAAAGTGAAAGCGTGCAATTTCGTTGTGCATTTGACTCTCTGATGCCACGACCTTCGAAGCGTTCTTCTTTCCCAGAGCCTCGACTTCACATTCCGAAAACCATCCTTGTCATATGTTCTTTTCCTTTTTCATAACTTTCTAAGGCTGAGGCCCCGATTACCGGACTGGAGGGGCGTGCACGTGCACAACAACAACTTCATATTTTGGTTACCGTCCTTGTCACTTCCTATTTATTGTCGTACCTCTCTAGGCTGAGGCACCGAGGACCGGACTGGAGCGGCGTGCACGTGCACAACAACAACTTCCTCGCGCACGAGCGTCTCGCTATTGTCGACCCCGCTTCTGGCCACCAGCCGCTCTACAACGAGACCAAGGAGATCATCGTCACGGTGTGTATGGCTTCCTCATAAACAGTCCTAATCTCATGATCCGTTTCGCTAAAATCAGGAATAACATCCCTGACTTGTAAGGTCTGCTCCTAAGAAGATATCGTGACATTTCATGTTGATGTTTATTTGCGCGTGCGTGGGCAGGTGAACGGTGAGATCTACAACCACGAGGCTCTGAAGAAGAGCCTCAAGCAGAAGCACTCCTTTAGCACGGAGAGCGACTGCGAAGTCATTGCTCACCTGGTGAGTGTTCCTTTGCATGGTGGTAGCTTGCTTTTAAGACTCGTGTGTTAGTTCTTATAGTCCTCAAAGGGATCACATTTCACGCCTCTTCAAGATGAGCCTCAAGGGGAAGCACTCCTTCAGCACGGAGAGCGATTGCGAAGGCATTGCTCACCTGGTGAGTGTTCCTTTGCGCAATGACTGCGGGGTCATTGCGCTGGTGCAGGCTCTGGTGCCGTAATTGTGCCGTGGTTGCTCCACCGTAGCAAGGAACTGATAGGCACTGATTTCCTTCTGCAACCCCCCTGACTCCACTGTGATTCCTTTTTCCTCCTCTCTTTCTCTCATACCTGCCAGTACGAGGAGCACGGAGAGGAGCCGGTGCAGGAGCTGGATGGCATATTCGCGTTCGTGCTGCTGGACACGCGGGAGTGGGTACAGGAGCTTCCTTCATGATAGCTTTTACTTGGAACTTCCTCCCTTTTCTTGTATCAGCAGTACGAGGAGCGGGACAAGGAATTGGTGCACTGCTGGTGTGAAATCTGCTGCTCCTACTGTTGCTTGCCTCGTCTCTCCTCTCATTTTTCCCACCCGGCACTACGAGGAAGGGGCCAAGGATCTGGTGCCGTGACTGTTCATCCTCCTCCTTTGAACTACTTGACCTTTCTCTTATTTCCCGTGCCTCCGTTGTATGTCTTCGTCGTTCATTTCCTCTCCCCACCTGGTGGTACAATTACCAGGGCGAGGAGCTGGCGCAGCGTGCCTCGTCTCTCCGGCCATATTCCCATCCCACCCAACCTGCCAGTATGAGGAGCACGGCAAGGAGCCGGGGCAGGAGCTCGCGCCGTGATTGCCCACCTGCCTCTTCTCTCCTTTCCTCTTCTCTCCTCTCCTCTCCTCTCCTCTCCTCTCCTCTCCTCTCTCCTACCCGTCCCTCCCGGCAGTACGAGGAGCACGGGGAGGAGCTGGTGCAGGAGCTGGACGGCATACTCGCGTTCGTGCTGCTGGACACGCGAGACAACTCCTTCCTTGCTGCCTGTGAACCCGCCCAGCAGCACCAGAAAAGAGGCGAGGATCTGGTGCAGGCTCTGGTGCCGTGATTTGTAGGATTTGCTTTCTCATTCCCCTGTCTCCACTGTATTTCCCTCGTCTACCACCTTTTCTCCTCCACATCCGGCAGTACGAGGAGCACGGGGAGGAGCTGGTGCAGGAGCTGGACGGCATATTCGCGTTCGTGCTGCTGGACACGCGAGACAACTCCTTCATCGCTGCGCGCGACCCCATCGGCGTGTGCTCCATGTACATCGGCTGGGGGCGTGACGGTGAGTGCGTGCTGCTGCTGGTATCTGCTGCTGGTGTTGGTGGGTAGTGGTGATGGCCACTGCTAATGATTGGCAGCCAGGGACCCCATCGGTGTGTGCTCCATGTACATCGGCTGGGGGCGTGATGCTGAGTGCTGCTTCGTAAGTGAAGCCCCTCAAGGATCACTGCGAGTGCGAGCGCCGAGTTAATCTGAGTTCTATCTTTCTATTCCATCTTTGGCCGCTTGTCTTTGTGCGGGAAGGCTCCGTTTGGTTCGCCTCAGACCAGACCAGAGATTAAGGCCCTTAGTGACGCGTGCAAGGGCCTTTGAGTTGACCTGACCTGATGACCTTTCCTTTTCTGTGTGGTCTCTGATTGCTTGTCTCGGTGCTGCCAGGTTCCGTGTGGTTTGCCTCGGAGATGAAGGCCCTCAAGGACGAGTGCGAGCGGTTTGAGATCTTCCCGCCTGGCAAAATCTACTCCAGCAAGCAGAGTGAGTGGCGGGAGCAGGGTGAGCGAGGCATGCAAGCAGAGTGAGCGACGGGAGCAGGGTGAGCGAGGCATGCAAGCAGAGTGAGCGATGGGAGCAGGGTGAGCGAGGCATGCAAGCAGAGTGAGCGACGGGAGCAGGGTGAGCGACGGGAGCAGGGTGAGGGAGGGGAGCAGGGTGAGGAAGGGGAGCAGGGTGAGCGAGGGATGCAGGGTGAGGGAGGGGAGCAGGGTGAGGGAGGGTTGCAGGGTGAGGGAGGGTTGCAGGGTGAGGGAGGGTTGCAGGGTGAGGGAGGGATGCAAGCAAGGAAAGCCAGGGTCACAACCTTGCCTGCATCTCTGTCCTTCCCTGCCTCTGCCTCCCGCCCTTTCATGCAGCACCCCCCATGAGGCAGTGATACAACCCCAAGTGGTTTGACGAGCACATCCCTGACACGCCCTATGATCCTTGAGTCAGCTAACCTGCGTCTTCTCTGCATCTCCTTCCTGCATCTCTGTCCTTCCCTGCCTCTGCCTCCCGCCCTTTCATGCAGCACCCCCCATGAGGCAGTGGTACAACCCCAAGTGGTTCGACGAGCACATCCCTGACACGCCCTATGATCCCCTCGTGCTGCGAGCTGCTTTTGAGAAGGTAAGGAGCTGACTTTTGAGGCGCCTCAAAAGAGTGCTGCTGTCGGGTCGGGGGGGAGGGCTCAAATCTCCTGCCCCTCCTCCTCTGCTCCCCTTCCCCTCCTCGTCCCCGCAGGCGGTGACCAAGAGGCTGATGACAGACGTGCCGTTCGGGGTGCTGCTGTCGGGAGGGCTCACACCTGATTACCGATAAAGTCTCCTCTCTCATCTTCCCCCTTACCTTTAACCCCTCTCCTCCTCCCTCTCCCCACCACCAAGCGGTGACAAAGAGGCTGATGACGGATGTGCCGTTTGGAGTGCTGCTGGCGGGGGGGCTCTAGCCTGCCAGTCCCTCCCGTCGCCCCACCCTGTCCCCCACCCTGTTCATCTACTCTCACCCTGTTCATCTACTCACCCTTAACCTCAGGCGGTGACAAAGAGGCTGATGACGGACGTGCCGTTCGGCGTGCTGCTGTCGGGGGGGCTGGACTCGTCGCTGGTGGCGTCGGTGGCCAAGCGCCATCTCTCAGAGACACGTGCGGGCGAGCAGTGGGGGCCGCACCTGCACTCCTACTGTGTCGGCATGGAGGTGAGACTGTAGGTGCGGCAGCAGGCATGGAGGTACGGCAGTAGGTGCGGCAGCAGGCATGGAGGTACGGCAGAAGGTGCGGCAGCAGGCATGGAGGTACGGCAGAAGGTGCGGCAGCAGGCATGGAGGTACGGCAGAAGGTGCGGCAGCAGGCATGGAGGTACGGCAGAAGGTCGGCGCGGAGGTGGAGGCATGATAACAGGAACGGCTGCTCCCACCGTTTGGGGTCTGCTGTCGGGTGGGGTGGACTCCTCCTTGCATTGCCATGCCTCCTCAACCTATCACTGGGCAGTCACTTTTTCCCTCCTTGCCTTGCCCTTGTACGTTTCCTCCTCGCAGGGCTCTCCGGATTTCAAGGCAGCCAAGGAGGTGGCCGACTATATCGGCAGAGAGGGGTGGGTTGGCAAGCTATATGTGCCCATATTCCTCTGCCAATCACTGAGTCCCCTTTTGCTTCCGTTTCTTTCCTTGCAGGGCTCTCCGGATCTCAAGGCAGCCAAGGAAGTGGCCGACTATATCGGCACTGTTCACCACGAGCTGCACTTCACTGTCCAGGTGCGGCGAATCTTGCGCGTCATATCAAATGTCATGGCACCAGAAAGTTAACTCACCACGAGCTGCACTTCACTGTCCAGGTGCGGTGATTCTTGTGAGACTACCATTCACTGTCCAGGTGCGGTGATTCTTGTGAGACTGCCATTCACTGTCCAGGTGCGGTGCGGTGTATCTTTCCGGAGTGAATAAGGTCGTGTATGTAGTGCAGTGCAGTGTGGTGCAGTGCAATGCAGTGTGAATGGCGCTACCCCAACACACACAGCACCTCACAGGAGGCCAACGATGCGATTTCCGAAGTGTTCTACCACTTAGAGACGTATGACGTGACGACCTGTCCCATCCCCTTTCCATCCCTCCCCATCCCCTCTTCCCATCCTCTTCCGATCAATTCACCCCCTCACACACAACCTAACAGGAGGGCATAGACGCCATATCAGATGTGATCTACCACATAGAGACGTACGATGTGACCACCATCCGCGCCAGCACGCCCATGTTCCTCATGAGCCGCAAGATCAAAGCGCTGGGCGTCAAGATGGTGCTGTCGGGGGAGGGCAGTGACGAGGTGTTCGGGGGCTATCTTTATTTCCACAAGGCGCCCAACAAGAAGGAATTTCATGAGGAGACGTGCCGCAAGGTGGGTATGGGTGGGTAGGGGTGGGGATGGGTGGGTAGGGGTGGGGATGGGTGGGTAGGGGTATGGATCCCTCTGTCTTTAGCGGGTACCTGTACTTCCACAAGGCGCCCAACCAACTAGAAGGAGTTCCATGAGGAGACGTGCTGCAAGGTATGGTGGGTTTGGTAGGGGTTTGAATCGGTGCTGGGGCTGGAATGGGGATGGGCCACTAGGTGGGCCATAGAAATTGCCTCCTACTCTCACGCCTCGCACTCTCTCTCTCACTTCCCACCCTCTCCCCCCCCGCTCTCGAATCCCACACTCTCTCTCCCCACTATCTTTCACCCAAGTACTCTTCCCCCTTCACCCCTCCCCTGATCCAGCTGAAGGCGCTGCACCAGTTTGACTGCCTGCATGCCAACAAGGCCACCATGGCATGGGGGCTGCAGGCCAGGGCAAGGCAAGCAGTCCTTGTTTCCTCCACATTCCTCATTCTTTTTTCCGTTGCCCACCCTCCTACCGTTCCCCCCTTTTCACCTCCTGCAGCTGAAGGCGCTGCACCAGTTTGACTGCCTGCGCGCCAACAAGGCCACCATGGCATGGGGGCTGGAGGCCCGAGTGCCGTTCCTGGACAAGGAGTTCCTGGAGACAGCCATGAGCATCGACCCCGAAGCCAAGATGGTATGTACGCTTGTGGTGTGTGATCCGCCCCTTTCCCTCCTGTCACTTGCCTTAGAAACTGGACCATGGCATGGGGGCTGGAGGCATGAGTGCCGTTCCTTGACAAGGAGTCCTGGACGTTGTTGCCATGAGCATCGACCGACTTTTGAGTCGACTCAAAAGTCACCGCGTCCTGGACGTTGTTGCCATGAGCATCGACCGCGAGGCCAAGATGGTACGTACCCCTCTTCCTCTGTTCTCTCGCTGTCTTTCTCACTGTCCCTCCTCAGTACAGTTTCAATAAGAGCCGTGGTCAGAATGCTAACTTGAGACTCCATGTATACCCCGCTCCCTCCCTCCTCCACTTCTCTCAACCTCCGTATTTCCCCATCTCTCCTCGGCTCATGCAGATCAAGCCCAAGGAGGGGCGCATTGAGAAGTACATTATCCGCAAGGCCTTTGACGACCCCGAGAACCCCTACCTGCCCCATGTAAGCCCACACCTCCCTGTGTAAGCACATCCTTCCTTCCTTCCCCCATTCATACTCGCCTAATGTAAGCATCCCACCTCAGAAAGAGGAAACATTTTGTATGTGGCAGCAACTGTAACCCAGATATAGGTACTAAAATGATTCCTGCAGACGTTGACTTTTGAGTCGACTCAAAAGTTTGTAGCCCAGGCAACTGTAGCCCAGGTAGTGGTACTAGAATCAATCCTGCAGACATTGGAAACCTGGTACTCGCCTGCATTTATACCGGCTCCCGCCCCCCATTTTCCCAATCACACTTGTCTCTCCTTTGCTCTTCCATTTGCTACTCCTTTTGCTGCCCCCCCCACTTTCCCTTCTGCTTACCCCAGCACATCCAGTACTGCCAGAAGAGTTCAGTGATAACGTGGGGTATGGCTTGATGAGTGATGCATCCTTCTCCCTCTCCCCATTCCTATCCTCTCCCCTCTGCATCATTCTCCCTCTCCCCATTCCTATCCTATCCCCTCTGCATCCCCATTCACAGCACATCCTGTACCGTCAGAAGGAGCAGTTCAGTGACGGCGTGGGGTACAGCCAGAGCAGCAGTCATGCATTGTTTCCTTCCTGTCGTCCTTTCCTCCCCCACACTCCGCCTCCCCGTCCCCCTCCCTCTCCTCCCTCACTGCACCACATCCTGTACCGTCAGAAGGAGCATTCAGTGACGGCGTGGGGTACAGCTGGATGAGTGATGCATCCCCCTCCCTCTCTGCCTCTGACTCCCCACCTCCTTGCCATCCCCATCCTCGTTTGGAGTACATCCTCTACCGTCAGAAGGAGCATTCAGTGACGGCGTGAGCATTCGCTTTATTCTACCTGTCATCCTCTTCTCCTCCCCCTCCTTCCTTCTCTCCCTCAACCACAGCACATCCTGTATCGCCAGAAGGAGCAATTCTCTGACGGCGTGGGGTACAGCTGGATTGACGGGCTGAAGGCACACGCGGAGAACATGGTATCGGATCAGATGCTGGCCAACGCGCCCAACATGTTCCCCATCAACACGCCCCAGACCAAGGAGGCCTTCTTCTACCGCATGACCTTCGAGAAGCACTTCCCCCAGGTAACACCTTCCCCAGGTAACACCTCGCCTATGTACTCAACATGTAACAGATGCTCGCCAATGCGCCCAACATGTTCCCAGGAAACACCTTCCCCCAGGTAACACCTTCCCCCAAGTAACTACTTCCCCCAGGTAACACCTTCCCCCGGTAACACCTTCCTCCGGTGATACTTTCTCCAGGTAACACCTTTCCCCAGGACCCAGGTACCACCTCCCCCAGGTAATTCCTTCATGTAACACGGGAGATAATACCCCCCTTCCTGGTATCAAATGTTCTCTGGTTTTTAAGAATGACGTTGTGTTGCTGTGTGTTACCGGTAATATTCGGTCAATTTGGACAGATTCCAGTCAGTCACACTTCCCTCTTCCTTCATGTATCACCACTCCTGCCCTTGTTTGTCCCCCTCTTTCTCCATACCATCTGCTCAGCTGTGTGCTCGCTTGACGGTGCCATGGGGAAAGAGTGTAGCGTGCAGCACAGAGGCTGCAGTCAAGTGGGACGCGGCCTGGGCCAACAACATTGACCCCTCCGGCAGAGCTGCTCTGGGCGTGCATAACGCGTCGTATGAGGGCAAGGATGGGGAGAAGAAGGCTGAGGGTGAGGAGGACGGGAAGGAGAATGGTAAGGAGAATGGGGATGCCAAGGAGGAGGAGCCTGCTGCTAAGAAGGCCAAGACTGATGCTTGAGAATCTTGCTGGGAGTAATCACTGTAGTGCTGGATGGAGGCTTTATGAGTTGCTTGCTAATTGAACATTTACCGATGGTGCTAAAAGCGTACCTATAAGCTTTTCTGTAGCTGATAATTTCCTGATATTTTATGCTTGGTTTGATTTGAGTATGGTATAATTGATGAAATACTGGCAGTGATTAGACTATTTAGCTTCTCTGATCGGTGTATTATACCTTAGCTGTCACGTTCTTTATCTGTATCATCAGCGGCATCGTTATCGTCCTGATTTTGACGAAGACTGCGCGACGTAACCACCGACATTAGATGGAAGAGGTGCTTCGGATGTTGGTGTTCGTGCATTCCCCCTTCTCTGACGGATCACTGCGATTTCGCAAATGCTCTCGTTGATTCCACCCAGCAGCACCTGGTGCGCGGCGCGAAGGGAAAATTCCACCGAATGCGAAATTCCACGTTCGTCATTTCTGCGAGCTAACTCGCTTCTTTGCTGCGCGACGCCCAGAAGTGTCAAATCAGATGCCCAGTGCCCGACCACCCACTCCCTCATCCCCGCCATCCGCAGGGGAGTTCGTCAATCCTCCTCAGCTTTGTCGGCAACGGTCCACAACTGTTGCAGAGCGGAGTGCGCAGTGCTGTCAGCAGACGAGCACCATCTTACTCAGCAGACATTCCCTGCTCTCTGCTCCCTCCCTTCCCTCTCCCTTGCTAAGTTGCGACTGCCCAGTCTTTTTCTGACAGCAGTCCAATCAGCTGAGCGCGTTATTCCTGGTATCTTCTTTGAAACATCGGAACCAGAAGCTTGTTTCTTAGAGTCCGACGCTTAAATGCCCAGAGTTGCGGCCCTCGTCATCTCTATCTTCCTAATTCATTCAACGAATTCTGAAAGACGAACTCTCTAAGAGTATCGCGAACTGAGAGTAGTAGTCCTACGAAACTCCAGCCAGTGTAGTAACCCTTTCAGCCAGAAGAGTCCAGAAGAGCTGAGCCCCGCTTTTGAGTCGACTCAAAGGTCATATCCGTAGAAACGCCCGCGTTCGCTGCTAAGCCGGAGTTACGTTTGAGAATTCTCACAAGCTAAGCCGCTCGATATCATTCCATTCCAATTTCGGTCGATCGTGATGACCTCAGCGACCGCCATGTCCAGCGACTCCGCGTCGCCTCCCGCGTCGCCTCCCGCTTCGGCTCCCGCGTCGGCTCCTTCCCTATTGTCCCCCACACAATCTAATATCACACGCTTCACGCAAATACCACCCCAATGCGACGCTGCCGCACATTCCCCTCAAGACGGGTCCTGCGCCCCACCACCACCGCGACTAGCTCGACTCCTCGCGCGGGGAACTGCCTTTGGAGCCGTAGCCCTCGTTCTGCTCGTCGCCGTTCTTGCCACGTGTCATGCTGTGGGAAGCGAGTCCTTCCGCTACTACCCGGCGCGCTCGCCCGTGTCGCCGAGCTTTTTGCGGAGGTCACTAGCAGCAGGCGGAGGCGGTTCGGGCGGGAAGTTAACTCCGGGATTTGTGGCGAATATTACGGCGGGAGTGAAGGTGGTGATTGCGAGGGTTTACGCGATAAAGAAGGGCCGCACTAAAACGAAGATGACGGATTCCTGCGCTAACGACTGCCTTTCTCTGGTGCGTTTCACCAGCTAAGTGAAAGAAAGAAGAATGAGATACACGATGTCGTTCCATTGTCTATGGCTCAGTAAGCTAGCAGCTTAGCCGCTCCAAGCTTGCACCAATCCAGAAACCTTGCTAAGCGTTCCCTGATTCTTTTCTTAAAGCTCCCGCCCTCCCAATGGTCCACTTTGATTCCCCCTCCTCCCCTCCTCAGATGTCCACCGCGTTGGATCATCATGCTGCAGAATGTTTTTGAGAATTCTAAAAAACAATCTGGCCACCCCATTGAATCATCTAACCTGCGACTCGCGGGGAAAGGCCGCTCCAAGCTCGCAGCAATGCAAGAAATGCTCCCCTGCCCAAACACCCCCCACACCCCCCCCCCTCCTCCCCTCTCTGCTCCCCAACCCTCTCCCCCTCCTCAGGTGCTGGCCACCGCGGGTGGATCATCTAACTAGCGACTCGCGGGGAAAGGCGCTGGAGGCGCGCAGCAGCGTGAAGGACACGGCCGTTTACCCTAACCCCCCGTTTCCGCTTTCCCCCCATTCATCCACCTCAGATAATCACCGCGTTGGATCAACTAGCCCGCGTGTCCACGGCGCTTAAGGCGCAGAGCAGCGCGAGGGACGTGGTCCGCTACCCTAACCCCTCTCTCCGTTCTCCTCCCTCCTTTCCCCCCCATTCATCCACCTCAGATGGCCACTGCATTGGATCAACTAGCCCATGTGTCCAAGGCGCTCAAGACGCACAGCGGCACGAGTGACGTGCCATACTCACTGACAGCGGCGCAGGACCAGGTGACGACGTGCCTGGACGGCTTCAGAGAATTCTCCCCTGCCACTCTCAGCACGCCAGCTGGAAAGTCGCTCCAGGTGAGACTCTATGCACTCAGGGCGTGCAGCTACTTTGCAGGGCGAGCTGGGTTGGCTGTCAGCTGCGCAGGACCAAGTGAGCACGTGCCTGCACGGAGTGTTCTCCCCCGCTACTCTCAGCACACCAGCCGTAAAGTCATTCCAGGCGAGAATCATTGGCGCAGCAATTTCAGAAGGACATGCTGACTTGGCTGACGGCGCCACAGGACCACGTCACCACATGCCTGGACGGTTCAGACAGTGCTCTCCATAGGTGCTCTGCTGGCGTCCAGTTCCCTGACATGCCTCCTCCGGTGCTGTGTTACATCGTCTGCCTGCTTGCTTAGGGCGGGTCAAAAGAGTACGTCCGAATGGGGCTGAAAAAGGTTTGGATTTGAACCAGAGCGGTCTAATTGAAAATCCAGATGGTTGGGTAGGGTTTTCAGCGAACACGTGCAAAGTTTGACCCGCCCTTACCCTCTCTTCCCCATACCAGGCACATGGCAGACAAGTCAAGAAGTCTCTGGACAGAGCAATTAAATTGTCGCTTCACTCTGCATGACTATCAAAGCAACGTATGCATAGGAGAAGAGCCTACTGATTGATGACGATAATGATTGCTCAGGGTTTCAACCATATTGATGTTGCTTATGCAACTCAAGGAAAAGAAAGGACCAACTAGGATAGCAAACACTATTTATTTTCACAACTCTTAAATTCATCAAGCTGCACAAAGCCTGTCAATATGTGTGGGCCATCTTAATACTTCTTTTCAATGTCAGTATATATCCTTCTATTTACTAAGTTGGTAATCATTATGTATCCATATTGAGTCTGCACTAAACGGTAAACTCATTTGTAGCTTCACATCTATCAGCTCAGCTACTCATCAGCGAGCACAAGTGTGACCAGACCACTGCTTCCGACGCGGCACGGCGAACGCATCGCACAACCCACAAAATTTTGCTGAAATGCGCGGTCCGATTTCGAACCACATTCCCCCCCGAATTCTGGACAGGAGACTTTTGAAGCAGATCGGAAAGACTTGCCTGCACATTCGCTGCCGTTTATTGGACGTGACTTGCGCACCAATCGCAGGTGCGAAAATGTTTCTCGAATTGTGGTGTGCTGGAAGCATGCCTTGCTGCTCTGGTGCACCGGGCCACCACCACCCGCTAGCTGCTCCGTTTACGTGCACATGAACTTTCACAGAGCCATCCGGTTTGCACTCAGTACCCTTCCTACAATGAGAATGTCCGTACAAGAACCACATATGGACGAGTCTCAGCCTCAGTGTGCTTTTGTAGAGCCACATGGTGTCTTTTTCATTTCGGGAATACCTCTCCGTGTGCTTGTGAGTGTTCAGTCCGCCTTGGCTTTCCGAGACAGTACCAGCAACGCTGCCACCTCCTTCCCAGCCGCAAGCCATGGCGCTGGTTTCGCCGAGGACCGGCAGGGTTGCTTGGGGTGCGGTGGGCTTCGTCGCGGCTTTAATTGCCGTCCTTGCCACGTGTCACGCCGTCGACAACTACTACATCCTACACCCACCCGCGTTTTGCGCCGACACATCCGATCCGCGCTATTGCGTGGAGCAGCTCCGCGACGTGCGGCGGAAACTCGGTGTGCTTCCCGCTCCGACGAGTGAGCTTGCGCCGGGGCTCGTTGCGAACATCACGGCGGGGATGCAGCGGGTGATGGCGAGAGTATCCGCGATAAAGAAGAGCCGCGGTGCCGCGAATATGTCGGGAGCCGTGACAACCGACTGTCTCGATCTGGTATTAAAGTCACTTCATAACCTCGACCTGTCTCGACCTTTCCGCAATGATCCCATTTCTCTCCTTCCATATACCCCTTACTATCGTGGTTTTCTTAAACAGCCGAAGAGTTTCGATACGTCTCAAACCCCATCTCCCTCCTGCCGTGCGCCCTCCCCCCACCACACCCCGCGCCCCCCTCGCTCCCCCTCTTTCCACTGCACGCACCCCCACGTCCTTCCCGCAGACCACCAACGCCTTCTATCACCTCGCCAAGGCCGCCGCGGCGCTAAAAGCGCGCACTAACTCCGAGGACGTACCATTCTGGATCACGGCGGCTCGGGACCAGCTCACCACATGCCTCGACGGAATCTGGGAGTTTGCCGTCGACACGTTCAAGTCGCACGCGGGAAAGTCGCTAACATCCCACGGCAAGAATCTGAAGAAATCGTTCGACACCGCCATAGCCCTCGCGCTCCTCGCCGCCGCCGCCCGCCGATCCGCGCAAAAGCTGCCCTCTCCGCGCCGCGAGACTCTAGAAGGCGGCGGCCCAGGGGAGCCGCCTTCGTGGGTTGAGGCGGGGATGTACGAGCGGATCAGGGAACTTCAGGCGCGGATGCAGGGAGATCACGCGGAGGCGCAAGCGTGGGCGGAGCGCGGGCGGAAGCTTCAGCTGGCGAAAGTGAAGAAGCTAAAGCCGAACGCCGTGGTGGGGAGGAACGAGAGGTACAAGAAGATAAACGACGCGTTAAAAGCAGCTCCGAAAACGGGGCTGTATGTGGTGTACATCAAGGCGGGAACGTATAAGGAGAAGGTTTTGGTGAGCCGGGAGGGCGTGATTCTGGTGGGAGACGGCGCGTCGAAGACGATTATAACGGGGAAGGACAGTGTTGCTGGCGGATTCACCACATACAACACGGCGACAGTCAGTGAGTCATACCAACTATTGCTACCAACAATGTGCTTATGTCTTTCTGTACAGCCTTTTCTCTGTAAGAACCGCCTTCTCCGCTCCCATTTCACATGCACATTCCCTCGTGCTTCCTCTTCCGTCTTGAATCCTGTCTTCGTTAGACGTCTATTTGAGCTAGTCCATCAGTTGAGCTACTCCTGTCCCTGTCCCAAACCCCTGACACCGAATTTCCTCGTTTTTCTGCCGTTGCTACTCAATCTCAGGTGTAAAGAAGAACTATTTCCAGGCAGCGGGGATAAAGTTCGAAAACACTGCAGGAATTCAGGGCAACCAAGCCGTGGCGCTGATGATCGACGCGGACAAGGCAGTCGTCTACGACTGCTCCGTTACAGGCTACCAGGACACGCTCTACACCCACTCTGGCCGCCAGTACTACAGAAACAGCTTCATATCCGGTATCACGGATTTTATTTTCGGAAATGCCGCTGCGGTCATTGACAACTGTACCATTGAGATGCGCGCGGGGAAATCGAACATTCCGATTACCGCGTCGGGGAGGGAAAGCGAAACGCCCACGGGGATCGTGATTCGCTACTCGTTTGTAACAGCGGAAAAGGGTGTTACCGGTACTCCTGGCTACTTGGGACGGCCTTGGAAGAAGTGCGCGCGTACACTTTACATCAACACATACCTTGCAAAGGTAAGCTAGCTTCTACTCTTAATAACGATACATTTCCCACTTCCCCTGCGGCACTTATGCAAAGCCCTTCCAATATGTAAGTGCTGAGCTGAGCTGAACTATCCTATAGCTCACCCGGTTCACCCTGTGCTGGACAACCTCCCCATTTCCCCCCTTCAAACCCTCCTCGTCCCACCACACACCTACTCATGCCTCCTCACCCATCCTCACCCCTCATCCCTCCACTCCTGATCTCACCCCTCCTCGCCCCTCTCTTCACAACTGCAAATCAACAAGGAGGGATGGAGCACGTGGAATGGCGACACCTACGGCACGTGTGTCTACTACGCTGAGAAGGACAGCGAGGGGCCGGGAGCATACAAGCCATAGAGAGCTCATGTGCGAAATTCGTGCCTGTCGCCACACTCCTCCTCACCTCTTCCCACCCTTCTCAACCCTCGTCACCCCTCCACACTCCTCTTTACCCCACAACAGCAAATCAGCAAGGAAGGATGGAGCACGTGGAATGGCGACACCTACGGCAAGTGCGTCTACTACGCTGAGAAGGACAGCGAGGGACCGGGTGGGAACAAGCCAGATGTCTTATGTGCAAAAGGGAATCCCTCACACACCTCCACACCCCTCCACACCCCTCTCTACCCACAACAGCAAATCAACAAGGAGGGATGGAGCACGTGGAATGGCGACACCTACGGCAAGTGTGTCTACTACGCTGAGAAGGACAGCGAGGGGCCGGGAGCATACAAGCCGCGGGCCAAATGGGTGAAGCCTGGGCAGATCCGCGACGGAAAACCGTGGGCTCCTGAGCCTTTCATTCAGCTGGGCGAATGGTATGACACCAAGAAAGGAGTCATCCGGTATCCTCCTAAGTGATAAGCTGTGGGCATGGGAGAGCAAATAGTACAATGTGAAGCAAGGAGTAATTCGTTACACTTAGGGAGGAGCATCGTTGGGGAGCGAGTTGCGAGCATCGTTGGGGAGCGAGTTGCGAGCATCGTTGGGGAGCGAGTTGCGAGCATCGTTGGGGAGCGAGTTGCGAGCATCGTTGGGGAGCGAGTTGCGAGCATCGTTGGGGAGCGAGTTGCGAGCATCGTTGGGGAGCGAGTTGCGAGCATCGTTGGGGAGCGAGTTGCGAGCATCGTTGGGGAGCGAGTTGCGAGCATCGTTGGGGAGCGAGTTGCGAGCATCGTTGGGGAGCGAGTTGCGAGCATCGTTGGGGAGCGAGTTGCGAGCATCGTTGGGGAGCGAGTTGCGAGCATCGTTGGGGAGCGAGTTGCGAGCATCGTTGGGGAGCGAGTTGCGAGCATCGTTGGGGAGCGAGTTGCGAGCATCGTTGGGGAGCGAGTTGCGAGCATCGTTGGGGAGCGAGTTGCGAGCATCGTTGGGGAGCGAGTTGCGAGCATCGTTGGGGAGCGAGTTGCGAGCATCGTTGGGGAGCGAGTTGCGAGCATCGTTGGGGAGCGAGTTGCGAGCATCGTTGGGGAGCGAGTTGCGAGCATCGTTGGGGAGCGAGTTGCGAGCATCGTTGGGGAGCGAGTTGCGAGCATCGTTGGGGAGCGAGTTGCGAGCATCGTTGGGGAGCGGGTTGCGAGCATCGTTGGGGAGCGAGTTGCGAGCATCGTTGGGGAGCGAGTTGCGAGCATCGTTGGGGAGCGAGTTGCGAGCATCGTTGAGGAGCACCATTGGGAGCGAGTGGCAGGGAGCGTACAAGGAAACGGCCAGGTGGGGGCAGAGGCTGGGCCGGGGTCTGGTGATATATTGAAGGCAAGATGTCAAAGGGCCATGGGCCTTAATAAGGTAGTTTATAAGAACTGGTACACCAAGAGCAAAGGGACCATTACATGTTTGTACTACGGAATAAAGTATGAGCTAATCAATAGCTGGAAAGTGGATGCGGCTGGACCTTGTATGATGGGTGCCTGTGTTTAATATCCTGGAATTTTATATGGTGTACGGGAGTGCATACCGTGTTATGGTGTAACTCATACTAAACAATCCTATGAAGCTATCTCTAGTGTAGAGATGTGCTATAAGGCTGCTGATGCATTAGTCATTCAGTATTTGTGGATTTGTGTATAGGCGCATTGTAAACAGCAGGCCAGGGGACAAGCTAATGCAGTTTTTGTGACATGCTACAAATTGCACCAACAACGGGCAGGAAAAAAAATATGAACATTTCCTACACAACTAGACATTGCACCATGCATGTGTTCATAAATATTCAGCATGTTCTGTTTCAACTATCTCTGAATCACTTTGAGCGATATGAGACCGGATATGGGAGGAGGGGGGACGTTATTGCTGATGTCAACTTGCCTCACCTCCCCAGGCTGAAAGTACAAGTCGCTGTGACTGGAAGGGGGGAAGGAGAGGCAATGGAAAGGAAAGGCAACAGCAGATGGGTGGAGGGAGAGGAAGAGAGAAATGCGGTTCATGGGAGAGGAAAAAAGGGTGGTTGTTGCTGATGCCGATTTGCCTTTTGAGTCGACTCAAAAGAAATGCGGTTCATGGGAGAGGAAGAAAGGGGTGGTTGTTGCTGATGTCGATTTGCCTTTTGAGTCGACTCAAAAGAAATGCGGTTCATGGGAGAGGAAGAAAGGGGTTGTTGTTGCTGATGTCGATTTACTTCACCTCCCCAGGCTGGCTGGAAGTGTGACACTTCCAGAGTCATGATGCGGTTCATGTCACCACAGCTCTCCTGAGTTGACATGATGCTGTGGGAATTTTTTGAGAATTCTAAAAAAAAAGACCCTGAGTACTGCGTCTCGAGGATTGACATGAGAGCCGCTGCTGGTACGTCCAAATTTGTTCCACATTCACGCAACTTCTGAGGTCCTTGCCAATCAAAGCTGCTTGCAGCAGGAGAGGCAGTCAGAGTCCGCAGGAGAGGCAGCTTCCAGCAGGAGAGGCAGCTTGCAGCAGGAGAGGCAGTCAGAGTCCGGTGAAACAATCACGACGACATCCCTTGCGTACTGCGTCTCGAGGATTGATATGAGAGTACTGCCACACTCACGCACCTTCTAAGATCCTTGCCAATGAGGGCAGACTGCAGCGCGGAAATGCAGTCGGAATCCGGCATCACAATCACCACGGCATCCCTTGCGTACTGCGTCTCGAGGATGGACATGAGCTGCCAACAACAACATGTCTCAGCGTATGGTTTTTGAGAATTCTCACACATGTTTTTTGAGAACTCTCAAAAAACATCCTTTACCCCATTTCACCTACCTCCTGAGGTCCTTGCCAATGAGGGCAGCTTGTAGCACGGAGAGGCAGTCGGAATCCGGCGACACAATCACAACGGCATCTCTGGAATACTGCGTCTCGAGGATGGACATGAGCTGCGTCACTCTCACGAGCACGTCTGCTACACTCTCGTGGGGCGTGCCGTCAGTGAAGGCCGGCGGGCGCCAGCGGGACGACACAGAATCCTCCAAATAGATCTGTAGAGGAGAGCACAAGCACAAAGAGGATCGACATGACACGATCACCACGGCGTCTCGTGAGTGCTGCAGCGTCTCTCAAGCATCTCGTGAGTACTGCGTCTCGAGGATGGACATGAGCTGCATCACTCTCACGAGCATGTCTGCTACACTCTCGTGGGGCGTGCCGTCCGTGAAGGGGGGCGGGCGCCACCGGGAGGAAACCGAGTTCTCTAGGTAGATCTGTGGATGAGACATGGGATGGGATGACACAGTAAAAGGGAAGGGGGATGGGGGGTGGAGCTGAGTCACCCACACGAGCACGTCCGGCATGCTCTCATGGGTGGTGCCGTCAGTGCAGGGGTGCGGGCGCCACCTGGATGAGACAGAGTCTCTGGGTACACCTGCGGATGGGAAATGGCACAGTAGAAGGAAGAGAAGGGAGGGAGCGGGGATGGGTGGGTGAAGAGGGGGCAGGAGTCATTCTCACAAGCACGTCCGGTATGCTCTCATGGGTGGTGCCGTCAGTGCAGGGGCGCGGGCGCCACCTGGAGGAGACAGTCTTCTTGGTACACCTGGTGATGAGAGCATGGGCACGGAATGGCATGGGGCACATGGCGATGGAGATGAGTGAAGACACTGAAAGGGAGATACGAATTACGTTGTGGGAAAGGGAGATACGAATTACATTGTGGGAAAGGAAGATACGAATTACGTTGTGGGAAAGGGAGATACGAATTACGTTGTGGGAAAGGGAGATACGAATTACGTTGTGGGAAAGGGAGATACGAATTACGTTGTGGGAAAGGGAGATACGAATTACGTTGTGGGAAAGGGAGATACGAATTACGTTGTGGGAAAGGGAGATACGAATTACGTTGTGGGAAAGGGAGATACGAATTACGTTGTGGGAAAGGGAGATACGAATTACGTTGTGGGAAAGGGAGATACGAATTACGTTGTGGGAAAGGGAGATACGAATTACGTTGTGGGAAAGGGAGATGAGGGGTTACACAGCAAATCATGTGAACTAAGCATCATGGAGATCGTTATTGCTGTTGATTCACCTCATCACTCCTTCCCCCCACCCCACCCCGTTCCCATCCCCAACTCCATTCTTCACCAAGCCCTCTCTTTCCCCATAACCCTTCTTCCCCCCCCCATAACCCTTCTTCCCCCCCCCCCATAGCCCTTCCACCCCCCCCCTTCTTCTCCCCTAAAACCCAATCTCCCCTGTTGACCCCTCTCTTCAACCCAGCCGTTCTCTTCCCCCCTTATCTTCCACCCAGCCTCTCTCTCCCCCTCTCTCTCCCCCACTCTCTCCCTCCCAGCCCCTTCCTTCCCACCAAACTTCTCCCCAGCTCTGCCATAAACTCTCCCCCACCACCACACCCACCTCGCTCATCATCTCAAGAGGCTGTCCTTCAAACGCCCCCAGTCCTCTGGCGTCCAGGAAGCTGTACTCTGGCACGATGCGGCTGGTGGAAGGGGGGTGGTGAGGGGTGGTGGGGGTTGGTGAGGGGTGGTGAGGGGTGGTGAGGGGTGGTGAGGGAAGGTTCACGGTGAGATAAGGAGTCGCCCCCAGTCCTCTGGCGTCCAAGGGTAGTGAGGGAGCTGAGAGGGGAGGTATAAGGGGAGGGAGGCGACACCCCTAGTCTCCTGGCGTCCAGAAAGCTGTACTCTGGCACGATTCAGCTGGTGATGAGGGGTGGTGAAAGGAAGAGGCGAGGTTCGGTGGTGAGGAGGGAGAGTGAGAGGGGAGGTTCAAGGAGAGAGAGGAGAGAAGTTTCAAAGCCGTTGACGGTTCAACGTCCCATGCCTTTCAGTCAATATTTGAATATTGACTGATGGTTGAAAGACAAGAACGCCTTTCAGTCAATATTTGAATCCCCAGACAAAGTTTGAGTGGACTCATCAAGTGTACGAGTGAGGGGAAGTTAAGACTCTGCCGTGCTGTCCACACCACACCATAGGTATATGTGTACATCCCCGCCCTGACTTTTGAGTCGACTCAAAGTGTCACAGCGTACGTGTATGTGTACCTCCCCACCCTAACTGCCAACGCACCTGTAATCCGCGCCGTTTACGTAAGCAACGACCTCAGCCGTCTGATACGCCCGCTGGGAAATGGACGGCCAGATCCAGCACCCTCCACCGCAGGCGTCCATCTTGCGCAGCTTCCTGGCAGCTTCCACCGCCTGCTTCTTCCCCTCCCCTGATAGACCACTCTGCACGTTGGTCTTGTCTACGGGGTTGGTGTGAATTAGCCCAAGCGCTTCCCACTCTGACTCGCCTGCTCTTACTAAGTAGTACCTGGGAGAAAACGAATGGGGTGGGGGTGGGGGTGGGGGTAGGGTTGGGGACGGAAGTGGGAGAGGGGGAGAGAGAGGGGGAGGCAAGGAGAGGTAATTAGATGAAGGGAGAGAAAATGAATTGCCCTTCTCGGATCGATTTGCACGTTGGTCTTGTCTATGGGGTTGGTGTGATATGAATCATGCCCAGAGCTTCCCACTCCTGCTCTCACCAGGTAGTACCTGGAAGAAGGACGGAGTGGGAGAGGGAGTGGGGAGGGCGATCGGAAAGCCTTCGAAACAGTCACATTCACCACTCTTGTACCTCACACAACCACCCAACACAATCACATTCGATACAATCACAACTCACACCATTGCACTCACGTGTTTTTCAGCTCAGTAGGCGGCATTTGCAGCAATCCGTTTGCACGCGCGGTGCCGATACCTCCCAATGGTAACCCTAACCCTGACCACCGCAGGCCCACCCCTGCCACGTCAGCTGCAGGTCCGCGAAATATCTCTGTCGCATCACCCAAACGTTCCACTGCTGCGCCAGACAGCGGTGCCAGCTCAGCAGACTGTTGAGGCGGAAGCATGGCCTCGGTGGTAAGAAGCGACGCCGCGAGCAACGATGGAAGGAGAATCCGCGAAGCTGCTGATTGGATGTGAGACTGCAAATCTCCTGGAAATGTCGAGGGTTTCGAGGAAATTTGGCCATTGATACAGTTGCGCCGGTCTTGACGGCTGGTAATGCTGCTACTGCTGCTGGCTTGCACCTTGAAAGGCTTCCGCACAGGTACAAGATTGGAACGCAGTAAGTTACTATCGAGGCGAGTTGCGGAAGAGTTGGTGTGATGCTGTGGTCTAAGAATCGACGATCGGGGGTAGTGAAGGATCGACGAGGCCATTCTGCAGTGTTGCGAATAGAAGATGGTCGTAAATTAGCGAAAAAGGTACTCTGAAGTTACGTAATGCGGGGAAGCATGCGAAAGTCGCCTTGCGACGGAAACTCTTGGTTTATTAAGTTCCTGTCAAGTGTAGCAATTAGAGAGTGTTTACGGCACTATCTCCGTCTTCCCACCACGTGTTGATTCAGGAGAATCGCCTTGCACGCGCTGCTAGGTCAACCACGCTTAGTTCAGAATCATTAAGGCATTCAGACATGAATGGAGGAACGCGCCTGTCGAAGCAGTGTATTGCAAAAAGTCACAGAAAAATTCGGAGGTAAGCCAGAAGTCACAATTCATCGAGCTCTAGAATGTCCTTTGAGCCCAAGAGCCACCATGCAGAATCCATTCAGAGCATGGATTATGCCGCGCTGCGAGCCAGCATTCACTCTCCTCTCTGGGCAAAACTCTTCCCGAAGAAGCTTGAAGAGAAAAGCTGCCGTTTTGCGAGGAAGCATTCATTCACCGCAAAATATCTCCCAGCGGGCAGGGGAATTCACTTCGAAGGTTGCATCTCTGCCTTCCACCTGTTTCCCCCATTATTTGGGAGGAGCAGATTCGCGATTGGACGATAGTGCCAGAGTGGCGAACGCCAGACGCCTAGAGAGAACAAAAGGAGTGCCGACGCAGAGGATTGAACTCTGGACCTTCTGTTTACAAGACAGATGCTCTACCACTGAGCTACACCGGCTTGCAGTTCGGGCTCGTTTTAAATATATAATAAACTAGTTTGACCTCGTCACCTCCGAACACACTTTCTAGTAACGTGTCAGAGATTATTACCTTGGAACGACAGGTGTTTACATTCGGCCATTCGTGTCAGAGGTGATCATATTCGAGCGACAGGTGTGCCCAAGGTCATCCAGCGCAGCAGCTGCACCGGCCATGGCGGTCTGCTCTAACCACGCGCCGCCGCGTGTCCCGACGCCAATGCAATCTGATCCCAGAATGACGATATCAAAGCCAGCCGAGCCGCCGATTCCGTATCAATTAACGACGACCGAGCCGCTCTCCGAATGCAGTCGCGTTACCAGCGACTCGTTCCTTGGAATTCCTAGGAATCTGGATATCTCCCGAGGAATCGCGAGCTCCTTATCAAGAGCTACTGTATCATCACCTGCTGAAGTAGTCAGTATCGAACCTGGTTAGCAGAGGTCTTCTTGCACGGATTTCGGAGTCGTTAACGCTTGACGCAGTAACGCTGAAGGAAGAAGGGGAGGACGAAGGGGAGGGAGAAATACCTGGAAAGGGGTCCTTGTCGCTAGAGGTTACACGCTTGGCCGGATTGCTGTCGACTGTGCCTGCAGACTTATGCTGCTTGCCTTCTGACGGTTACTCTCGCAGCCATGGCGTCTCTGTCAGGTTTTATGGCTTCCAACTCCGCTGCAATCGCCGGGATCTCCGCTTCAGGAGGAGCCACCCGCTCCCCTCGCCCTTCCCGTTCCGCACCAGCTCCATTCCTGACGAGCTCCGTTCTCCCTCGCCGTTGCACCATCACAACCGGTCCCAACCGATCGATCTTCCCTTCTTGGCACGGCGTGCACTCTCCTACTAGCTTCAGGAGGTCGACAACCCCCTACCCCACTCTGCTGAGAACCAGCTGTAAGACCAGGAAAATGGGCTTTAACTATGGCTCCAGTTCAAGACTGCCGCTGCTTGCTGCTGCTTCTGCTGGTGATGCCGGTGCTGGTGGTGATGGGGATGGAGGGCACAAGGTAGGAACAGGAGAGAGGGAAGAATTGATAGGAGATTTGGAGGCAGTTGGGGAGCTGGAAGGGAGTGGAACAATCGGGGAGGAGCAGGAGGAGCAGGAGGAACAGACTAAGGAGCAGGCGTCAGCAGGGGTGCCTTCTCTTGCTTCTGATCAACCCAATCAATGGCTCACAGCACATCTGGACTTGAGTGAGGTGAAGCGGCAGCTGCAACGGTCGAATGAACGGACAGCAGAGAACCTGAAGCACCTGAGAAATCGCCTAAACGCGTCCAACGAGTGGACGCTTAGCCACCTGAAGAAGGGGCACCAGTGGACGTCTGAGCACCTGAGAGAATCAAATCAACGGACACGGGAGCAGCTGCAGCATCTGATTCACTCCGAGCAACTGCTCCATTTGGAGGAGCGTCTGGACGTGCGGGCACTGAAGGCAAGGCTAAACGCATCTAACGCCAAGACCAGGGCGCAGCTGAGGCACCTGGGAGTCAACCTGGAGCACCTGGAGGGGCACCTGGACGTGGGGGCGCTGAAAGCAAGGTTGGACGCGTCCAACTCCAGGACAAAGGCGCAGTTAAAGCGGAGAGGCAGGCAGGCGTCTCACACGGTGCATGGCGTTGCTGACGTGCTCTCTGTTATCGGCGCCGCCGCTGCTGCTGCCACTGCTGGTTCTACTGGTGGAGCTGGTGGTGCCACTGCTGGTGCTACTGAAGCTACTTCTACCTCTGCTTCAGGATCTGCGGCTCCACCTCCTCTTGCTGGCTCTACTGGTGCTGGTACTGGGAAGGAGAGGGCAGCAGGAGGAGTAGATGGTGGGGACGTCCCCAAGACTGAAGGCAGTGCGAGCAGCAGTGCAGCGACCAGGAGCCTGTCTCGCAATCCGTATCTGAGTGGCAATTTCCGTCCAGTGGGCACCGAGGTGCTGCAGGAGCTGGACTGCGCGGTGAGTACCAAGTGCCATGGAGGTTCATGTATGCTTGTTCCCCCAAGAACCCTCCTGCTTGCAATCCGTATCTGGCAACTTCAGGCCAGTGGGCACCGAGCTGCTGCAGGAGCTGGACTGCGCGGTGAGTGCACCTACCTGCCTGCCACTTGCATGCACGTGGAATGGAATCTCCGTTTGAATTCGTGTGTGGTTTCCACCGTGTTGATGTTTGAAATCATGTTTTGCAGGAGCTAGACTGCGCGGTGAGTGTCCACCTCGCTTCGCCATCTTGCCATCTCCTGCCATCCATATTCACCTCCTCCTCCCTCGCCTACACTTTCTCTGCCTGCCTCTCTGCCTCCACATGTTTGGGTGTCTGTTCACATGTTTGGGTGTCTGTTCACATGTTTGGGTGTCTGTTCACATGTTTGGGTGTCTGTTCACATGTTTGGGTGTCTGTTCACTGGTTGAGAATGAACCTACCTCTTTGCTCACTTGATCGTTCCATTCTCCCACCTCTGCTTCCTCCCCTCCTCTCTTCACCTCCTCCTGACCCATCCCTCTCTACCTCTCTGCCTCTCTGCCTCTCTCTTGTTTCTCACACCAGGTGATCGGCCAGATCCCTCAGGGTCTGCGGGGTAGGTTCATTCGCAATGGCCCGAACCCGCAGCTGCCACCCTCCAGCCCTGACCTCTACCACTGGTTCGACGGGGACGGCATGGTACATTCAGTGAACTTTCACCCCCCTGGGGAGAACTCTCACAGTCACCCTCGTGAAGCCCGTGAGGAGAACTTTCACTCCCCGCAAGTGAGCTACGGGCGGCGCTACATCCGAACGACAGGCTGGCAGGAGGAGCGGGCGGCGGGGCGGGCGCTGTTTGGAGGGTTGCAGCAGGTGGGGTTGGGGGCGAGCCATTTGCTGCTGGCTGCGATGAACCTTCTCGGGCTGAGACAGCAGGACGCGCCTATGTGGAACATGGTAAGCTTATAGGAGGGATACTGGGGTTATAAGGGGTATGGAGTGGTGGGGGTGGTGCAGCAGGTGGGGCTTGGAGCGAGCCAACTGCTGCTGGCTGCGATGAATATTCTCAGGCTGAGCCAGCAGGACGCGCCTATGTGGACAATGGTGAGGAGGTTTGTAATGGGTACAGTGTACGGTGTGCTTTTAATGGGTATGGTGTGGTGTGGGCTGCAGCAGGTGGGACTGGGAGCCCGTTTTCTGTGATGAGCATTCTGAAGCTGAAGCTGCCTGGAAGCGTTTTCTTCATCTTGGAGAAAAGTCAAAATTGGAATGACTGAGACCTCAGAAAAGTCTCAGCATCCTGGAATGACTCAAAAGTCATTCTGAGGCTGAAGCTAGAGGCCCTGTCTTGATCTACTCCTTTTTTCTGTCCCTCTTCTCCCCTCCTTTTTGTCCCCATCAGGCCTGACGGGGAACTTGTCCATCAATCACTTCATTCTTCACCCCTCTCTCCCCTCCCCTCCCCTCCCCTCCCCTCCCCTCCCCTCCTCTCTCCCTCCCCCCCCATCAGACCAAGAACGTGTCAAACAACCACTTCATTCAGCACGCTGGTCGCCTCCTCTCCCTCTGGGAAGCAGGCCTGCCCTACTCCCTCGACTCGTCAACCCTCGACACCAAGGTACTACCCTCGGTGCCCGCCTACTCTCTCTCAGGCTCTCTCCCATCATCTCCCCATTCCCATTGCGCCTCTCGTCACCCCTTTCCATTGTGCCACTCTTCTCTTGCGTAACATTGCACATCTGACCAAGGATGCTAGGTAGATCAGGCTATGAGACTACCTCCTATTGTCTAGTATCCCTATGGTATGTAGCCGCTAGGTAGTCTGATGATGTTTTCGTTTTTCTCTATAGTGCACTGCTTCCGTTTTTCAAGAGAAAATGGGTAAAGGATGTGCTCCATCGTTCATTCTGCATTTCCCTCAGGGCGTCCACTCGTTTGATGACACGTGGCGCAGCGGAATGACAGCTCACCCGAAAGTGGATCCGGTTACCAACCACATGATGATCTACGGTTATAACCTCACGCACAAGGTACGACCTGAGAATCTAAGAGCTGACAGCATAGGATTTACAGGATAAGAATTGAATCACAATGTAACTACTCCCTTTCACAGTTTTACAACTCGCATGGGGCAACACTAATTTCGCCACAAAAGCATAACCCAAGGTAGGACTACTAAAAGGGTGCGCCAAGAGGTGTTGCTTACCCTCAATTTAAAGCTGCGCATCAGAGCGCACATTACACTAGCACGCTTCTGATTCGGACTTGAAAGGGACTTCCAACCTTGTTGTTGAGGCTCCTCAGAAAAGAAAAGCGCCTGAAAAGGCGCCTCAAAAAGCGCCTCAAAAAGCGCCTGAAAAGGCGCCTCGTAGAGGTGACTAAGTGACTTTTAGGTGATCTCTCCTGTTGCACTCACACTCCATATTCACCCACCATATTCACCCCATTCCCACTCTCTCCCCATGTGTTCTTCCCTACAATCACAGCCGTATCTGCGCTACGGGGTGGTTGACCCCTCTGGCTCCCTCATTCATGCCACTGACCTCGACCTGCCGCACCCTGTCATGGTACAGAGCGGTGGAGTAGTGTTCTATGTGGTTTGGCATGGTCTGGGCTGGTTGGTATAAGGCATGTCATGGTACATGAGAGCGGTACAGTAGTGTTTGATGTGGTGCATTGGGTAGTATGGTATGGCCTGATGGGTTATGTTTTGTCATCATATGGATTGTTGTTTCCGGTAAGATGTGGTGTAGCAGTGTTTTTGTGTGGTTTGGCGTGGTATGGTTGGGTTATGCCGTAATGTGTTTACGGACTACTGCAGCGTCTGACATTCTTCCACTCCCCCCAACCCCTCATCACCTCTCCCAACTCATTTTTCATCCCCTCCCTTCCTCTTCCTTCCCGCTCCCCTCTCTCCTTCCTCTCTTCCTCTCTCCCTCTCTCCCCAAAAACCCCTCCTCTCAGATGCATGACTTCGCCATAACACAGCACCACAGCATTTTCCTCGACTTCCCGCTTCGCTTCCAGCTAGACAAGGTCATTCAGTCACACGGCAAGGCCAAGCCCTTCGTCTTCGACCCGGTAAGCCACTGATTTCTGCGTCTGGAAGGATACTGATCCTTGTAATCGTTACTGCCTACCCTCCTGCGTATCCTCGATCCTTGTAATCGTTACTGCGTACCCTCCTGCGTATCCTTGATCCGGAGGATGCTGATCCTCCTGCCCGCACTCGCTTTGCTGCCTCTGCCTTCCCATCAATCGACTACTATGCTCTCTCGCCCCGGACTCTGTTCCCCTCTCTTTCTCTGCTTCCCCATCGCTCCCCCGATCCAGTCCAAGCCATCCCGCATCGGAGTGCTTCCCCGCTTTGGCTCTAATCCAGACATGCGCTGGTTCACTGTGGACGCAGGGTGAGTTGCTGCGACAACCAGTTGTGACAACCTGTATTGACAAAGTTGCACAGCCAAAACTAAGCACCCGCGTTTTGGCTCTAATCCAGACATGCGCTGGTTCACTGTGGGACCCAGGGTGAGTTGCTGCGACACCCTGTAATGACAGCCTGGTACACTGCCAAGACTTGCATTGTAAAACACAAAGCAGCACCCGCGTTTTGGCTCTAATCCAGACACTTGTTGGTTCACTGTGGGACCCAGGGTGAGTTGCTGTGACAACCTTTTTGCCATCCTGTTTTGAGAGTGTTGCAGAGTCAAAAACAAAGCACCACCCGCGTTTTGGCTCTAAGTCAGACATTCGCTGGTTCACTGTGGACCCGGGTTGAGACTAAACATTCGCTAGGCTTCAAATCCATTCCTCCCCATTGCACATGGTCCAAATTTTCTCTGTTCCAATCCCTACCTCCGTTTCCCCTGCTCCTCCTATTCCCTTGCATCCTTGCAGGTTCTCTCTTCATGTGGTCAACGCATTTGAAGAACCCTCCTCCGCCCCCACCTCCTCATCCCCCTCTCCCTCCTCCTCCTCGTCCTCCCCCTCCTCCTCCACCCCGGACTCTCCTCCTCCCGCCATCATCCTACGTGTCATCCGCTTCCCCGCCTTCTCAGCGCTGGGCCTTGCTGAGCTGGCAGATGAGCTGGCGTGTGATGAGGTGGCACGATTGCATGAGTACAGGCTGGATCTGCAGTCGGGAGCAGTAGAAGAGCGCTCTTTGTGCAAGGTATGTGTAGTGTGTTTTCCAGGCACCTCAATCTTTGCCGTCCCTTTTTTGTCGTCCCCCTTCGCCTTCCCCATTAGCCTTAATTCTTCGCCTCAACTTTTCGCTTTACTCCCTCGCCTCAATTCTTCGCCTTACCCCGTGAGACTCAAGTCTGTGCCTTACTCCTTTCGCCTCTCCTCCCTGTTCTCTCCCCACCTGCACAGGTGTGCTGCGACTTCCCTTCCATCAATCCCAACTCACGTTGAATTCTTTGCCACCTCCTCTCATTCGATGTCCCTTCCACTGCCTACCTCCTTTCGCCTTTCCTCCCTTCTCTAATGTCCCTTTCTCTCTCTCCCCACCTGCACAGGTGTGCTGCGACTTCCCTTCCATCAACCCCAACTTCCTCAGCCTTACCCCTTCACCTTCCCCATTTTGCCTTCCCCATTTTGCCTTCCCCGTTTTGCCTCTCATCCCTTCTTTCTCCCCACCTGCACAGGTGTGCTGCGACTTCCCTTCCATCAACCCCAACTTCCTCAGCCTTACCCCTTCACCTTCGCCATTTTGCCTTCCCCATTTTGCCTTCCCCGTTTTGCCTCTCATCCCTTCTTTCTCCCCACCTGCACAGGTGTGCTGCGACTTCCCTTCCATCAACCCCAACTTCCTCAGCCTTACCCCTTCACCTTCCCCATTTTGCCTTCCCCGTTTTGCCTTCCCCGTTTTGCCTCTCCTCCCTTCTTTCTCCCCACCTGCACAGGTGTGCTGCGACTTCCCTTCCATCAACCCCAATTTCACGGGCCGTCCCCATCGCTTCGCCTACTCTGCCCGATTCACAGCACAGCCCGGCCCAGGTGAGGGTGAAGCGTGCAGAGGCATGGACCTGAGGGATGTAGAGGGATGGAGGTGGGTGGGCAGGGAGGGTGATGGTGGGCAGGGAGGGGGTTTGGTAGACTCATCCCCCATCGGTTCGCCTTACTCTGCCCGATTCACAGCACAGCCCGGCCCAGGTGAGCGGTTCAGAGGAATGCTGGTGGGTGGCAGGGATGCAGGTGGGTGGGCAGGGATGCAGGTGGGTGGGCAGGGATGCAGGTCGGTGGGCAGGGATGCAGGTGGGTGGGCAGGGATGCTGGTGGGTGGGCATGGGTGGGTTAGTAGCAGTCCGGATGAGGTGCGGTGTAGTAACAGTCTCCTGTGACACGTGTCAAAGAACGAACTGAGGATGTTCTCTATGCCCAATGCCCTACTTCCATTCTGTATTCACTCCCGTCCCCCAACCACCACCAGGCACCACCGTCCCCTCATTCAACGCCATCATGAAGCATGGCTTTCAGCACGGCACATATCAGATGCCCAATGCCCCCCTTTCATGTGTCTCCACTCCACACCCCTCCTCCCACTCCCCCAACCACCACCAGGCACCACCGTCCCCTCATTCAACGCCATCATGAAGCATGACTTAGCACAGGGCACGTACCAGGTACATACCCTCCCACCGGGGAGGTTTTGTGGGGAGCCCGTGTTTGCTCCACGCCACCACTTTCAGAGCAGCAGCAGGTCGCAGAGCGGTGAAACGCGGTCAGATGAAGTTGGAATGGGTAGAGATATGGTGGGACTGGGTGCTGATGCGGTTGGAATGGGTGCAGAGGAGGAGGATGATGGGTGGGTGTTGGCACATGTATGGGATGAGGAGGAGATGAGGAGTGAAGTGATTGTGCTGGATGCAATGAATCTGGACAAGCAGCCACTGGCACGGGTCATTCTGCCCAAGAGGGTGCCATATGGCTTCCATGGGACGTTCCTTCCTGACTGAATCCGTCAGAGTGACTGATTCTGTCAAATCTGACTGAACCTGCCAGAGATGTGTGTGCATGTTTCTGTTGTAGGGTAGCTTAGTTGCCATTACATGCAATGACTTGGATTGACTTGGATGAGTGCTCATTTCTGCTTGCTCAGAAGCTGTAGGCATTCCAGCAAACGATCATTATACAGAAGCCATGTCCACAAGCAAGCCAGGGCTAACAGCTTAGAACATAAACCTGGAGGCTAGTTACCCATAGGTTTACACCACTCCACTTCCTCTCACACATCACATCACCCACTTGAAAGCGCTTCGGTATTACTTGCGCCTAACATACTTCCCGCAAAGCGCATACTTCTTCCCTTCGTGCCCTACAAGAAAGTACTTCCCTCCGCCAGTAATTAATCTCGCATCCTCGATTGCAGCACTCTCCACCGTGGTGGGCGAGGTGGCCGCCATTTTGAAGCTGTAACGCTTGTTACTACCACCTCTCCGGGTCGTTATATTCAACCATTTATCTTCAGGAATATTCATGTAAGAAGGGGTGCCACTTGTGCAAGTTGATGCAGGAGTAGTCATGGGATTTTTTCCTCTTGACTTAATGGCGAAAATAAATATCTTCAGGAAAACAGTGTATCTTGCTTCAGAGTACCTGTCAAGCGGACATGAGAAGAGACGGGAAAATTTAAAGTTAGTCAGGTTGCTTGTTTTGACTAATGGGAAACCTCCATGTCACAGGTTGCGTAGGCAATGCTGACTCGCGAGTAGCATTCTTTACGTGCTCGCTCCCAGTTGAGGCTTTTTTTTTTTTTTTCAAAAACACAAGCACTAGCTGTGTCGGTGTGGCTGTTGCCATGCTGTGATGATTCTTCCATCGTGTCAGCTGGAGTAAGTAAGCAGCACACACATCCGTACCTCACCATGGTTAAACCCGCTCACAGCTTAAGCACAATCTGACACACAGGAGAATCGCTTGAGAGCAAGTGATCAAAGGGACATGATCCCACCATAATGGGACATGATCTCACATTAATGGGACGTTGTCCCACATCAATGGGACGTTGTCCCACATCAATGGGACGTTGTCCCACATCAATGGGACGTTGTCCCACATCAATGGGACATTGTCCCACATCAATGGGACGTGATCTAACAGTTTTCACACATGGTGACTCCATACACGTTATAAAGCGCCTCAAAATGACAAATCTTAAGGCTTTCACACATGATGACCCCATAAACGTTCTTAGGCGCCTCAAAAAAAAGAATAGCGCACGAACTAGCTTAGAATAAGTGAAGGACAGGGCACTCTCCCTACATCAAAGCCTTCACAACAAACAACTCTCCCGAGGCGCCTCAAGAGCCTTACCTCACCGCTTTCACAACAATTCTTCCCGAGGTCGCTTTGTCGCCGATCACTTTCTCCTGGTGCCACGAGGTGACTTTCGAGTCAACTCAAAAGTCACCTCAAAAGCCTTAACTCACCGCCTTGACAACAACTCTTCCAAGGCACCTCAAAAGCCTTACCTCACCGCCTTCACAACAACTCTCCCCGAAGCCCCTTTGTCGCCGATCACTTTCCCCTGGTGCCACGTGGGACGCAAGACGGCGCCGAATCTCGCTGGAAAAGTGGGAATGGCAGGGACCGGGCAGACGAGGAAAATTTCAATGGAGGGATACAATCATACAAGTGACACGTTGTATCGCTGCATGAAGGCATGTACAACAATATCGAGTCATATGCCGCATGTCGCATGGTAGAAATGGCATTCTCCGTCTGCCGCGGCACTATCCAGGCCTGGGGCACTATCTAGGCCTGGGGAACTATCCAGGCCTGGGGCACTATCCAGGCCTGGGGCACTATCCAGGCCTGGGGCACTATCCAGGCCTGGGGCACTATCCAGCCCAGGGGCACAGCTAGTCGAAGGGTGAAGTGAGTAGGTAGGTGGCACGATGACGCATTGACGACACCACCAGAGCTCGTCCCATCGCAAGGGCTCACATGACCGCAAGGGCTCGCACGACCGCAAGGGCTCGAACGACCGCAAGGGCTCGAACGACCGCAAGGGCTCGTACGACCGCAAGGGCTCGTACGACCGCAAGGGCTCGTACGACCGCAAGGGCTCGCACGACCGCAAGGGCTCGCACGACCGCAAGAGCTCGCACGACCGCAAGGGCTCGCACGACCGCAAGGGCTCGCACGACCGCAAGGGCTCGCACGACCGCAAGGGGCTCGTACGACCGCAAGGGCTCGCACGACCGCAAGAGCTCGCACGACCGCAAGGGCTCGCACGACCGCAAGGGCTCGCACGACTAGAACTACTGACAGTAAGCGTTACAAACAATCTGAGGCGCGTCACGCGCAACAAGCGCTACACACGCTCACCTATTATTTTTCCTTTTAACAGCTGACGCCTGGGGTGAAGAGTAGAGGTGGCAGCAGTGGCAGACGCAGCAATCGCTCCAGCGTCGTGTGGGAGGAACGATGAGGCAGACGCGCCATGGGCAATGAAGAGTGCCGCACCTGCAGGCAGGCAGGCAGGCAGGCAGGTAGACAGGCAGGCAGGCAGGCAGGCAGGCAGGCAGGCAGGCGGGCAGGCAGGCAGGCAGGCAGGCAGGCAGGCGGGCAGGCAGGCGGGCAGGCAGGCGGGCAGGCAAACTCAGCCACGGACCCAGTCGTGGAGAGTGAGCAGCGCACTGAACCACTTGTGGAGAGTGAGCAGCGCACCGACCCACTCATGACTGCTCTGGCATGAATCGATGATCATCTCAAGACTCGTGATGAATACGCCGCTTACAGAGTAGTAGCATGCAGAGGGGAACAGCAGGGGGACGTCAATCGATCATCTCAACTCATTTTTGTTGCCGCGGCGCTTACATAGCAGCATGCAGAGGAGTGCTGCGCGCTCCGAGTTCATCGCCATCGTCGCAGTCCTGGCAGGGGCAGTGCTAAGAGATGGAGAAGAGAAAGCGATTTCGACTTTTGAGACGTCTCAGAAGAGAAAGCGATTTCGTGGAGAAGAGCTGGTCATCGACGACCAGTTCCGCGATCGCAGAGCAGTGCCGGTCGAGAAAGAAGAGAAAGCGAAAGAAGGTAGCGCAAGAGATGAATTCACTCGTTCCAATAACCGATCCGCAGTATTAATCCATTCACTCCATCACCCCGACCCGGAACCACAGACGTGGTCCTCGACTGAGGCCCTGTTCAATAGCCTAATAGAACGGGAAGGAATAGAAGTGGTTGGATGCACCTCATCCCGAACCTGACACTAAGGGCGGGTCCGAAGTGACCCTCGACATCCGTCCGTCATCCATCCGTCATCCAATGGATAACGGTGGCGGATGACAGGGGATGACGGTGGATGTCAGATGGATGTCGAGGCACTTCGGACACAATGCCGGCGACATAACTGCCCCAAAAAATGGGGGCCGGCACTGCTGGCGCCAGAAAGGGCAGAATAGAGAGCATATTGAAGGCTCAAATTGGAGTCACGGATTTCGCAAACCCATTTCGTCACCCCGTACAAGTCACGAAGGGCTGTCGCTTGCCCAGAAATACTTTCGCCATGGTTTCCCCTCAATTATTTTGTTATCAATAATTTGGTTCGTCAACCGCCACGCTGACCTGCCCAAGGTCACTGCTGGCTGCACCCTTTGACTGTATGATTACACAGAGCTGGATGACGGATGAATGTCAGATGGATGTCAGATCACTTCGGACAAAATGCCGGCCTGAAAAATCTCACCTACTTCCCTGACATTCCTCGACGTCCGTCGAAACCATTGACATGTCACTTCGTACACGCCCTCGTAAGCTATGAAACCGACTAATCATTCTGCCGGCCGGCAACAGTAGCGAGACGACAAGGGGGAATGAAATCTGTCGGTCAGTCCGGCCAGCTTTGCAAAATCAACAGTAGTGCAAACAGATTACATATTCAATCATTGTGTATATGCAAGCCCTTATACTACAATACAAATACTACATTATATCATTATATAAACATCAGATTAGTACCCATACGTTCAGACCACGTCCAAACCAGAACATAACCATACATGCAAGATGTCCACAAACAATCACGCATATTTCTGCCGAGCATACTTCCCACAGAGTGCAAACTTATTCCCTTCATACCCTACAAAAAAAAAAAAAGGTTTCCATTACCCATCATGTCGTCATCGCCCGGATATAAGACATATATGTCTTATCTCATACACTAAAAAAAAAGCTTAGGTTATCTTGTATTTGGGGAGGTTTTGGGTGTCTTATACATCACAATAACCAGGTCCGGTTTTCGGCTTGTTCTCAGTCCGAAAACAGTACGCGCGGCTGAAATCAGGCAGGAAAGCATGGTAGTTTTCAGTCTGAAACCAAGGCAGTCGCTCGAGTGGTTTTCACATGATTTGCGGGCGTAACACAGCCACATTTCAGGGCTTTGTTCCCGACCAGGTTCAGTATGGTTTCGGACCGAAATTTATTACGGTTACAAGGTACGGCGGGGATCCGTTTTAGGGTTACACGAATGTGTACACCATAAATATGTACTCGCACTATAATGGTTGTTTGTTTTTTTTTCTGCATTTTATAAAAGCAATTCTAGATAATTCTAGAAATATAAATGCCACTATTATTTATTTGCTTTGTTCACCACCACTGCAGACCCCAAAGATATAATGAACCAAAAATTAGCATGTGAGTTAAAAAAAAGGGTTATTAAGCCTAATACCTATGCTACCAGAAACTCTAAGCGTGACACGACGCCAGCTTGCGTCCTTTTTTGCTCAAGTACGGGGGAGTTGTGGGAAGTCAGATGCATCAATGCAAACACCATGGCCGCCAAACACATACGCCTGCGCAGCGCGATCATAGGGGACCGCCAACTTGAGCACTGAATGCTCCACCCACCGGCGAACCCTGTCACATGTCTCGTGAAACTTGGTGCGGTTCTCACTCTGGTCGTTGCTCAGCTTGCCATCAGTAGCCTTTTCCAGAAGAGGGTTCTCCAGCTGCAACATCGGTGTATGGGTGGTAGGGGCAAATTGGGGTATGGGTGTGAGGGGCACATTGGGGTTTGGGTGAGGGGCAGATTGTGGTGTGGATGAGAGGGACAGATTGGGGTATGGGTGAGAGGGACAGATTGGGGTATGGGTGAGAGGGGCAGATTGGGGTGTGGGTGTGAGGGGCAGATCGGGGTTTGGGTAGGAGGGACAGATTGGGGTATGGGTTTAGGGGACAGATTGGGGTTTGCTGTGAGGGGCAGATATGGGTGTAGGTATGAGTGGTAGCTGCGGACCACAAGATATTGCCATACTACTTACAGTGAACAACGCGAAAGCCACCATGCGTGACTTCCACACCACGAGGTGCACACCACGCCTCGTGAACGCCCTCCTCATTGCGACGGCAAAGAGCTTCGTGGCAAAAGGATGTTGGGTGATGGGGTTGACATGCCATCCTGGGCCCCAATCTGTCAGGGGCAGATTCGGGTATGGGTGTGAAATGGGCAATTCGTTGTATGGGTGTGAGGGTGACAGCTTTGCCTATGGGTTTGAAAGGGGCTGCTTCGGGTATGGGACAGAAAGGGGCAGATCATGGGGTACATGAGAGAAAGGAAAATATGTGGGTATGGGAGAGAAATGGGCATTTCGGGGTACAAATGATGGGCAGATTTGGGCCTAAAGCATGAGGTACAGGGGTGGAAGTGCTTAAGGGTGTACAATCCACCGCACATGCTTTGAGCCGACAAAACCCCACTTTAACTCACCACTGATGCTGGCTTGAAGCAAGTCCTCATGCTTCACCACGTCCTTTGGGCGCGGCAGCCCTTTTGGCAGGTACTTCACCTTGGTCGTGTACTTGTCACTGCCCAATGCAGCGAATACAATACGCCTAAAAACCTTGCCTATAGAGCAGCGCGTGTTGCTACACGCTTTGAGGAAGGCACCCTTGGTGGTGGGGCACTGGTGCTTCCATAGCATTATCAGATGAGGAATTGTGTCAGGAGACAAATATCCTCTGAAACCCTCAATGACCTCTGTCTCTGAGGGGTACATTTCGATCATATCCGCATCCCTTGACCAGTAGAATTCTGTGATCAGCGTGCGACACTTCCCCTGTTGGCACGAGGAGGGAAGAGGGTGGGATATTATCAGAGAAGTTACAGAAACGTATTTCCACAGCCGAGACGAAATATGTGAAAGTTGTCAGGCCAGAGAGGGATGGAGAGACATGGAAGCGGGGGGTAGGGGGTGGGCTGGGGTAATGGGGGTGGGCTGGACGGGGGGGCGAGATTGGTGGACGGGAGAATGTGTTTAGGTTGGTGTGGATTGAGAAACACACCTTCCAGTCGCCGGCATCACAGAAAACCGCATCCAAAGCGATTTGCTCTGGACCACGGTTTTCCACACGTTGCACGCCCGTAGTTGCGTTGGGTGGCACACCCGGTGCGGTGCCTGGAACCAGTGGAGCATGTGCGATTGCACGAAGGATTTCGGCCCTAACTGCTTCCAGCTCCGCACGCGTGACAAACGCCTGCTGATTTGTCCTCGCAGTGACTGGTACCAGCGCCCTTGCAGCTGCAGTTGCGGTAGTTCCTGGACCCCTTGCGCCCGCCACCGCCCTTGGTGCAGCACCTGCGCTTGTTCCCTGCCCCCTCGCACCAGGGACCGCCATTGGAGCTGAACCTGCGCTTGGTCCCTGTCCCCTTGCGCCAGATAACGCCCTGCGAGCTGCACCCGTGCTTGCTCCCTGCCCCAGAGAACCTTCAGAAGGCGGTGACTCGGGAGCTGCACCCGTGCTCCCCCCTGCGCTTGCTCCCTGCCCCCTCGCACCAGATAACGCCTTGCGAGCTGCACCCGCGCTTGCACCCTGCCCCTTAGCACCTGCAGATGGCGGTGACCCGGGAGCTGCACCCGTGCTCCTTCCTGCGCCTGCTCCCTGCCCCCTCGCACCAGATAACGCCTTGCGAGCTGCACCCGCGCTTGCACCCTACCCCTTAGCACCTGCAGATGGCGGTGACCAGGGAGCTGCACCCGCGCGCCTTTCTGCGCCTGCTCCCTGCCCCTTCGCGCCGGCCACCGCCCTTGGAGCTGCCCCCGCGGTTGCTCCTGCGTTTTGGGGCTGGCCCCTCACACCTGAGGAACATGTGTAGGGAGTAGGAGAAATGAGTCAAAGATTGGAGATTTGGAGGAATGGGCTTAGTAAGAGAGGCGAGAGTGAGATAGGCAGGATAGAATGATCCATCGTACGTCATGGTAGCAACCTCAAAATCAAGCTAACAATAAAACACCACAACACTAGCTGTGAGGTCAGAACAATGAGCGGCACTAAATGTGGGTCAGACTGGAAGGGAAGTGGGGGGTGGGGCTGGGGGAGAGGGGGCGGATTCGAGGAAGGAGCTAAACATGGTACGAGGATATGTCAAAGCACCGCAAGAAGAGGCAACACTCAAGCGAGGAGAGGCAAATCAAGCTCGCTGCCTTTTTCTCAGGATAGGACAAGATCGACGCACCTGATGCAGCCCTTTGAGGACCGGCCGCCGCCCTTGCTGCCTCGGAGATTTTCGCTGCAGCTCTCTTTGCTCCCTCCAGGACTGCCACCATTGCGCTCGCTGCCTCCTCACTTGGCACGAGCGACCCTGCCCCACTGTGTAGCTTTGTTGGTACCAAACCGCCATTAGAGCAGGGCGTCGACACTTGCTGGCGTGGTTTGCCGTTCTGCACCGCCTTCTTCCCCCCCGGGGTCAGTTGAAAACGCTCCACCGAGCATGGTGGACCTATACCCGTGTTGAGTACAGCTATTTGCGTGATAACAGAATGGGCACGGGAGTGACATGGGGAGAGGGAGAGACGGGAGTGACATGGGGAGAGGGAGAGACGGGAGTGACATGGGGAGAGGGAGAGACGGGAGTGACATGGGGAGAGATAGAGACGGGAGTGAGAGAGGGAGAGGGAGAGACGAGAACAAAAGTTTAGTGAATAGGATGTGAGAGAGAGGGCCTGTGAGGAGGGGCGAGAGTGCAAAGGGCAGGTTACAATGATCCGTCGCATATCAAGCGTTCAACCTGAAACAACTGGACAACTAAAAACCACAACGCTGGCTTGAACAGCTAGACTCAGTAGAACAACAATGAGATGGGTTAAAGTGTGTGATGGAGAGAGGACGGGAAGGGCAACAGAAGGGTGGGGCTGGGGGAGAGGGGGGCGGGATCAATCCAGGAGGCAAGGTACGAGGAAATGTCAGGATGCCAGAGAGTCAAACCATAAAGCAAGCTGACTGTGCATCACATGCGCCAGAGTTTGATGGACTCACCTTTCTTCTTGGTTGGCGCCTTTCCAGCTGAGCCTGGCTTTGCCTTTCCAGCTGAGCCTGGCTTTGCCTTTCCAGCTGAGCCTGGCTTTGCCTTTCCAGCTGAGCCTGGCTTTGCCTTTCCAGCTGAGCCTGGCTTTGCCTCTCCTGTGCACCACAAAAGGACATGTAAACACAGGAACGAGATATAGGGAGTGTGTTGGCATGTAATCACATATGCGACGAGGAATGAGATGCGGGAACAACTTAGTGCATAACCGTGGCACGTTCATGCAATATAGGGCAATGGGCTTGCGTAAAGGCGGGTAAGAAGTGTAGCCTTGGCGCACCTTTCTCCTCGCCCCCGTTAACCTTTCTTTTCTTCTTAGGCTGCAAAGGACGGCCATTGTTGACAGTCCGAGCGCGGCCTGCAGCAACCACGACCTCTCCTATTTTGGGAGTGGGCTCCTCTCCGTCCTCCTGTGCTTCCTGCTCGGGGAGGGCAGGGCCCAAACCGAACAACAGTTTGAACCTCCCCCTTTGCAACGCCTGTGCCTCTTCTGCATCCTCGTCCACGGTCGTCCCACGACTAGCTTCTTGAACGCCACGCTTTCGCATCTCTCTCACAGCGTATGCACTAGCATCCGATTCCGTGCAGTCTTCATCTTCCTCCCCGGCTGCTTCCTCAACAGCCTGGTTAACCATTTCTTCATCTTCGTCCCCCTCGTCCCCCTCGTCCCCCTCGTTCCACTCGTCCCCCTCGTCCCCCTCGTCCCCCTCGTCCCCCTCGTCCCCCTCGTCCCCCTCGTTCTCGTCATCCCCCTCGTTCCCCTCGTCCCCCTCGTCCTCCTCCTCGCCTTCCTCCCCTTCGTCGCCTTCCTCGCCTTCGTCACCTTCGTCGCCTTCCTCCCCTTCGTCCCCCTCGTCCTCCTCCTCGCCTTCGTCACCTTCGTCGCCTTCCTCTCCTTCGTCCCCCTCGTCCTCCTCCTCGCCTTCCTCCCCTTCGTCGCCTTCCTCCCCTTCGTCGCCTTCGTCGGCTTTGTCGCCTTCGTCGCCTTCCTCCCCTTCGTCGCCTTCGTCGGCTTCGTCGCCTTCGTCGCCTTCGTCCCCATCGTCGCCTTCTTCCTCTTCGTCGCCCTCCCCGCCATCGTTGCCTTCGTCCTCCGCACCGTCCCCCATGGCGAAATCCTCTGCCTGGTTGTCCTCGACACGCTCCTCGTGTGTTTCAACGCCTTCTGCCGTGCCATCCTGCAGGGAATGAGTGGGAACATGCTTGTTACCGGCATGGTCCCCGGCTTGACTCTCGCCGAGAATTTCGGTGTCAAAGCAGCTCACAGCCGCATTATGGTTGTCAGCCGCGCCCTTATTTTTATTAGCGGCTCCCTTAACCCTCTTGCGCGGCTTGGTCGGTTCGCCCTTAGCCAATCCATGGCTACCTACTTCCGATCCCCCTCTGGATGGTACAGCCATGATTGCAAGAACAGAGGCGCGGTCTAGGTTTGTATGGCAATAAAGGTAGGTATGTGGAAAGTAGTGGGGCTAAGAATATGAAATGCCTTACCTTTAAACGAACGTCTGTGGGTGGCTTTGAAACGGTAGATGCTCTCAGCCCGCAGCTGGAACGAGTGAGTCACGGATCGCTCACGGTGTCGACGCAGGCGTGACATGCTCAAGGCGCCTTGTAAACACACCGCCGCGAAATCTGTGCGTCGCAAATCACGGCGTCGCGAAGCATGTGGGTCGCAAACAAGGCGTCGCGAAAGTTGCGCGTCGTATACTGGGCGCCGCGTAGTATGTGCGTCGTATTTCACGGCGTCGCAAAGTCTGTGCGTCGTCAATCACGGCGTCCTGAGGTATGTGCATCTATCGCGAAACCGACCTTAACAGGGTCGCGATGAAACGCGCTCTGTAAAACCACGGACTACGTTGGCTCGCGCTGCAGGGTAACTACCGTGGCTGTAGAGTCTAAGCTGTAGGTTTGTGTGACACTTAGGACGTGTCGAGCAGGTCTTGTCGTAAGGAACGTCCATCGAGCGCTAGGAGCACGAGGAAGAGGAGAAGGGAGAGGAGGTGGGCGTGGCAGAGAACCTGAACAGGGGGTGTACAAGCGAACGTGAGGAGGTCTGAACGAGCCAACGTGCACGGTTTAGGATCAACCCTAGTCTGAGGTTGTGTGGAGCTGCTTTGAAGATGCCCTGCCATAAAGCCGCAAATACTGGTCGACGTGTGATGTTCCGACCAATCCAGGAGCACCAACACCCTAAAAACGTCAAACATCAGCCACATCATTTTATGCCTGCGCCAAAGTCTGGGTGGTAAGGTACAGCTTGGACTGCACATGGTCGCATAACAGGGGCGCTGGCGTTTGTACTGTATGTCAACATGTACAACCAGGTGTGGTTAAACTGATTAAGGATCAGAAAGTCACTCACATAGATGCATAGATATGACACAAAAAATGGTGAAGTGATGTAATTCTTGCCGTTTGAAATTAACTGGGTGTATGCGATGAAGCATGGTATATGTAAGGAAATTCCCTTTTCCTTACTTCGAGTCCCTGCTCAACGCGTACATCACTGTAGCACCTCAGTCAGCACCGTTACCACTCGCGACCATCGCATCATTCATCATCCCGCCTTTTTCGCACATCGCATCCCGACCTCACGGCTCGACTGGTAACCCGCGCTCCGGGCCTACGCTTTGACACTTTCCCAACCTTAGTCACAGGCTCGTCGCGCGACAACCACAGTCCAGTACCGTTACCACTATTGTTTCGCTATATAATCCTTCGCTCATGCCTTCGCTCATTGTACTCTTGCTTCGATAGTGCAATTCTCGTTCATTCACTCAATTGCACTCGTAACACTTGGTATTCAGAGCCTACGATCTCATCTCGGACCGCATCCACACCTTCGCTTCCCACTATCTCAATTTTTTTGGGGGGGTAGACGTCTCTCAGCGATACAGCGCCGCCGCTCGTAGTGCTCTCTCGGAAGCACGCACGGCCACGACTGAGGCTCTCGCTGAGCTTGCCCGACACCCCCGCCATGGCTGATTTCACTATCGCCACACTGACGCAGGAGCAACTCGATCGTCTTGTGCGACAGTTGGAGGAATCAGCACTCGAAATCGCGACGCTCACGGCGGAACGTGATTCCGCCCGTCAACAGTCAACGGCGACTTCCCAAGCACCAACCAATGCTTCTGTCCATTCGGAGGAGCCGATTGTTATCTCATCTGGCACACCAACGCAAAATAACAGCACGGGACAACGCTCAGGCGCAGCCAGTGACGGCGCAGCCCAACCGATGCCCGGCATGGGAGGGAACAGGAATGCATCAAGCCCACGGGAGCCCCGAGAAGCCCGTCGGCACGTGGAGTTCACGACGACAAGTGGGGAACACGCCATGATGGCCCCAATGCCACTCAAGCCGCAACGCCCGCCCTGTTTCGACCCAAGCCAACGCGGTGGCCCGACAGTTCAATCGTGGGTCTTCACGATGAACGTGTTTTTCGACGCCAACTACGTCGAGTCGGACGCCGCCAAGATTCGGTATGCGGTTTCATTACTCAGGGGCCCCGCCATGGACTGGTGGCGAGTCATCGTGACGTCGCCACGCGCCTACGAGCCACCGCCGCACGAGGAAGGGCCCTCGGGTCCAGCTGTCACCTGGAGTTCGTTCTGCGAAACAGCCCAATACAGCACGTGGGACGCGTGGTGCGCAGGGCTTCGGGCGCGCTTCGAGCCGATCGCGGCTTCGATTTCGGCGCGTCAGAGACTGCGCACTTGGCGCCAGCTCGGGTCGGTTCAAGACTACACCAGCGGTTTTCTCGCACTTTGCGAACAGGTCGGCTACATGCACGAGGCGGAGCGGGTGGACCGTTACGTCGGAAGACTGAAGCCGGACATATCGCACGAGATAATGCTACGCGGGCTATCGAATTTCAACGAAATCCTCGCGCTCGCCGAGAAAATCGACATCCTACGCCGACCGAGACCGGGGTCCTATTTCGGACATCGTCCTCGGGGAACGATCGAGCACGCCACTGTACACGCCGTCGCAACGAATGCAGCTGCCACGCCATTTAGAGGGCGTTGCTTCGCTTGCAATCGGCCGGGCCATCGCAAGAGCGAATGTCCAGAGGAGCTGAGGCGTAGAGGAGCAGAGCAGGGGAGGGAGTCTCAGAGGCAGGGAAACGCCAGCAGTCAGTAGAAATCGGGCCAACTACTGACGAGACTGCCTGCTCGCCCAACCACACCGACCCTCACCGAGTCACAGTACCGATTCACGCCATCGATCGGGCTCGGATGAATAAGGAGGGTACAGCGACGGATTGCCCGGTACTGATTTACGGGAAAATACAGGGAGCAGCAGTGAAGATCTTTATTGACGGAGGAGCAAGTCACAGCATAGTTAATACCGCGACCGCACGAAAATTACAGTTGACACTTAACCGATGCTTACCTGAGATAGATGCACGCTTAGTCGACGGCACGCCCCTGGCAATATGGGAAAAGGTGGAACGGGTAAAAGTCCGCTGTGGGGGGAACTTCGGATTTACACAGGAAATGCTCGCAACGACACTGGATGGGCACGACATTTTATTGGGACGTGATTGGCTGCGACGGTACAACCCACGGATTGACTGGGCGACGGGGAGCTGCACAGTGCGAAGTCGCGGTAACTGGGTCGTCCTACCTCGCTGGCGGTCACCCGATTCTTCGACAGTCCAGGTCAACGCCATCACGATGAAACGGGTTGTCGCTGCGGGAGCTGACGTGTACGCAGTAGATATCGCAATCGTAGAAAAAGACGAGCAGCAGAGTGATTTCGAGAAACTGCTAGCAGCTGTACCGAGCGAATTACAGGCACTACTGAAACGGTTCCCAGGGATATTTCCAAATGATTTGCCACAGGGACTGCCACCTCAGCGGGCGCACGACCATAGGATCGAGTTAGAACCGGGGGCACAGCCAACAGTACAGCGGCAATTTCGACTGACACAGCCCGAACTCGACGAGTTAAGGGAGCAGTTAGATTACCTGTTAGAGAAGCAGTTTATTTGACCAAGCTCGTCACCGTTCGCCGCACCGATACTGTTCACACCGAAGAAAGACGGAGGTTTTCGCATGTGCATCGACTACCGAGCGCTTAACAGGGTTACAATCAAATCACGATACCCCATTCCCCGCGCCGACGAACTGATTGACCAACTACGAACAGCGCGAGTCTTCTCGAAAATAGATTTACGGGGAGGTTACCATCAGATTCGGGTCGAACCATCGGACTGCGCCAAAACAGCGTTTAGGACCAGGTACGGGTCATTCGAGTATACAGTGATGCCTTTCGGACTGACGAACGCGCCTGCAACTTTGCGGGTAGGCTCACTTCGCAGCATGCAGGAAATCCATCACAGCCGAAGAAACCGCACGACTCTTCATCTCCACCGTCGTTCGACTGCACGGGATACCCGCATCGATCATCAGCGACAGGGACACGAAGTTTACCAGCAACTTCTGGCGGAATCTGTGGCAGCAGATCGGCACACGACTTCAATTCAGTTCATCCTATCACCCCGAAACGGACGGACAGACGGAACGGACAAATCAAACCATGGAGCAGCTGATCCGAGCCACGTGCGACGATCCGAATACGTGGGAACAACAGCTGGCACTCATCGAGTTCGCATACAATATCGCACCATCAGCCACGACGCAACAGTCGCCGTTTTATTTAAATTACGGAGAGGACCCAACAGTACCCATGACACCGAATCCCGACAACCCTGTCCCACGAGCACAACAGTTCGCCGAGATTCTGCAAGCAGCACGGACCAGGGCAGCAGAAGCAATCAAAAAATCAAACATCATCGCTAAACGCAACGCCGATCGCCACCGCAGACCCGTCACTTATCAGCCCGACGACCTCGTTTTACTCGACACTCAGAACCTCCGCCTGCCCATCACTCCCAAACTCCGCCCTCGATACTGCGGGCCATTTCGAATTAGCCACATGATCACGCCCGTCACTGCACACCTCCTCCTTCCTGCTGACTGGTACGTCACCCCGTCATTCCACGTCAGCCTACTTCGCCCTTACATCCCATCCACGAGCCAACTGCCACGAAATCGCCCAGCCAGCATGGCACGTCCCCCAACCGAACCACTCATCACCCCTGAAAAAATCCTCAGCCACCGAGTCCGCGACCCTCGGGGAGCCCGACGGATCGAATTCCTAATTCGCTGGAAGGACCGAACGCCCACAGAAGACAACTGGGTCCCCATGGATAAAATTGAGAACCACCCTGTCTTCACCGAGTATCTGCGAAGCCGAAATTTCCGCGACGTCCACGCGCTCTCGTAAGAGGGGCCTCCTTGGGGAGGAGGGTAGTGTAAGGAAATTCCCTTTTCCTTACTTCGAGTCCCTACATCACGCGTACATCACGCTCTCGTAAGAGGGGCCTCCTTG